TTATCCTTTGAATTATCTTTCTTTTTCACAAATTCATGATGTAGCCCGCTAATGATGTTTCCTAGTAAGCTCAATTTTCTGAATATTTACAGCCAGCTCTGTTGACTTTAGTATGCTAACATAGGCCATCAATGCTTTAAAGCTCATCTGGGGGTATGTTTTACCTTATTTCTCTTTGACCCAACACTTCACCAAAAAATATTAGGGAAATGAGAATTTTATTTATAAATATTACAAAATTAACCATTTAAACAGGTCATTAATATATTCTTACCCCCAAACTTCTACCTGTTTATGAACTTGAGTTTCTTGATATTTTAATTCTATTAGACCAAGAGATAAATTTCCTCTAAAACTCTATTTGAAAGCTTTTTTTTTTCAAATTTGATAAATATGTTTCACGTTTTTTCAGGTGTTTTTAACTTTCTAAAGTACTATTTGAAATGGCAACTTAAACCTTAATTTTAGGGTTAGCATATGTATAGTTGTAGGATGCATTAGTTTCGTGAATTGTGATAATGACTAAAATTTGATTTGCTAATACAGCATAGTTTCCCACATGAAAAAAGTATTTTTGATAATATCAAAAGTGCATTTCGAGTTGAAGTTTTGACTTTTTACTTTTGTAGCTATATAGGAGGCAGAAAAATATTTACCAATCCTTGCATATTTATTAAAATGAAAAGAACTTTGGCCATGGTCATGTCAAGAACCCTAAATAATTCCATGGCCCAGAGTGGCACTTTCCTGAAGGTGGGAAAATATTCTGGGCAGGGATCAAAGGAGGGGGCAGATCCCAGGCAGGCCTAAGGCTTCAGCAACTCCCTTCTTCTGCCTCGTAGGAGCACTTAGTGTGCCAAGGTCTGAAGCAGGAGGAAACGATTATCTCCTGGGAAAGGCCTGTGTAATCTGGAACACCACAGATTTCTCGGAGTAGGAGCTGGGCTCCAAGTGTCTCATGGTTCTTGATGAAACAGTTCAGTCTGTTTCAAGGACATTCACGTAGGGAAATGACTGGCTTTGGAAACAGTGTTATTCTGGAATGTAGGAATAACCCTGCTGGTGATCACAAGGAAATGTTTCAATCAACGATACTCCTTGATAAGTGCTAGAGGACTCATTAGATAGTAACCTTACTACAACAATAATAAGAGTGATAATAAGAGGATTTATTGATTGCTTACATCAAACCAGGCACTTAATAGTCATTATATTCAAGAAGAATTTTATTTGACATTTATTTTACATTATTTCTTCTGCTCTATCAGTTGTGACTATACCCAGTAATCTGCTCTTGAATAAGTTGGAGTCCTGATTAAGTGTAGAAAATTCAATTGTAAATAACTAACTCACAAAAGATTTTATTTTCTGTCATTTCCTTTGCCTTGTCTTCTTTGATTATTTTTTAAAATGGTTCTGAAATAATGTTATACCAATGTCGATTTCCTGATTTTGATGATTGCACTGTGATTATGGTGTTAAAATAAATAGGGTAAAAGATAAAGGAACTTTTGCATGACTTTAGCAACTTTTCTGAAGTCTACAGTTAATTAAGAACAAAGGTGAAAAACTTCATAATTTCTTCACTACAAGTTATATATTTTATTATTTTCTTTTGGCAAAAATTATTGTATGTTCAATATAGAGAACATTTTCATACACACAAGCAAAAAGAAGAGAATGAAAATTCCTAATCTGGCCAGCTAGAGGTATCTGCTATAAATACCTAGTTCTGAGTTATTGAGATGTATGTGATATACATCATGTATTAATTTCAATCAGTGATTCTGTTTGCAAAGATAGAGCTTTATATTTATCGAACTTAATTTGTCTTAAACTTTCAGTTCGCCTAATGGGAGGTAACAATATAGCCAATTTCAGATACTTTAGTCCTTTCAAGATTTAAAGTCAATTAAATTTAGGTTTCAAATTGTCTTCTTTTTCTTACCCTTTAGAGGGCTTCAGTTCATCTTTGAGGCAATGGTCCTTGCTTCTGCTCACTAGAACCATGAACTATTGAAAGCCTCTAGCCTTCACAGTGCTGAAGACTCACTGGGGACTTTCTTAAGATTGAAAGGCAATCCTTGGATCCCTTAACAGTCACTTCACTAGCCTTTACTCCTTTACTGCCCTGGCACATTTCTGGTCTCTGAGGCTCTCTATCTTAAGATTTGCAGAATTTTAAGGCAACTCTATGGAAAACGAGGCACAGCTTTCTTTTTTATGGGATCTCCAGAAACTTTGCTAGGCTATCATCTCTCCTGTGTGGCTCTTGGCTCAAAGTCTTGGCATTCCAGGACCTTTCCCAAAGGTCCACTTAAGAGATTTACTCTGTGAAAATTCTCCTCCTTCATCTAGTTTTGTCTCTACCTCCTTTTGAATGAAGGAAACAGACTAGCTCTTACAGCATCACATATTCTTCCAGAATCTATTAGTTATGACATAAACTTGGAGGTTTTTTGGTATTGAAGGCAGACTTTTGGAAATTCAGATTCTTAAAGTTTTTTGGTTTGTTTTCCTTTTTTTGCTAAGGGCTTGAAAATTCTGTTTGTTAACAAAGTATAAAAGAACATTTTTTTGAGGCAACTGTGAACATATGATTATGAGCTAATTATTAGAAGACACCAATGATTTAATTTTGTTGGGTGTGAAAATGGCCTTATGATTACACACAAAAATAGTCATAATGTTTAGAGAAGTTAGTGAAGGCCATTATAGGCAGTGTGGGTTGGGAAGTGGCAGGATTGGGAAGAAGGGGACAGATTACTAAAAGTCATACATACCATTCTTTGGTTTCATGTTCAAAGTATCAAACAGAGAAGTGACACGATTAATCTACATAAAATGGGGGAGGATGAGAAAGAGTGTTTGGGACTGGGAGGTGGAAGGCTAGAAGAATATTTTATTCCTTCTCCACTGTTAGTACCCACACTGAAATCCATCAGTAAACCTCATTGGTTCTGTTTTATCACCTCCCGATTCCAACCCACCATTATCTCTTACCTGGACCCAACTGTTGCCTAATTATCAACTAAACAGTCTTTCTGCTTTTATTCTTGTTCCCTATAATCCATTCTCCAGAGAGCTGTCAGACTGACTTTTTAAAAGCTTAATTCAGATTGTCATTCTCCTGCTTAAAACACTCAATTGCTTTCTATTGCATTTAAAATGAAATACAAACTCTGCCATAGACCATACATTTGTACATAATCTGGCCATTGTCTTCCTCACTGTCCTCTTGGTGCCACTTTCCTCCTTACACATCAGTCCCACACACATGTCACTCTATAGTTCCCATTGTTCTTTTCAGTTACAAATGTTTATTTTTTAGAATACATTATCTAGTGTGATAGTTCTGCTGTAACATTTTAATCAAACTAGTACAAACTGCCCTTCATTTTAAAATAAAAAAGAATGATTAAGTGAAAAAGTATTTAAGTTCAACAGCTAGATCTGAGATGTAAAATAGTGATGAGATGGACACAAATTTGACTTTAAATAGAAAAATTTTACTCCATTCAATCTGGATTCTTTTATGATAGGACAGTCATTACACATAGGTCTCAGGTCTTGTACTTTCACACTTGGAATTTTATCTTTCAGTCTAATGAGCATGGCTTCCTTGTTAATTTTACACACAAAACATTTTCAATATGGGCATTTTCTGGCATATTTTTCAAGAACTTAGAATCAGGCACATCAAAAATTGAACTATATTGCCATTTACTTCACAATACTTCTAGAAGAAAGTAAAATAATTAAAATAATTAGAAATGTCATTGTCTTCATCTTCCTTCTGTTTGTTACAATGAAATAATAAATTGCTGCAGATTTGATTCCTCATTCTGTTGGTGGTTCATGTTTACGGATCATGATGGTTTAAGATAATGAACAAATGCCTCTTGAAAAACTGCTTCATAGACCACCTCTCATACTCTGCTAAGGGAAGTGTAACATGGATCATCACTCCGTGAAGGGCAAATGTCAATATTGATCACATTCGTAAATACATTTTCTTTTTGATCCTGCAACTCTCGACAGTTACCCCCAGCCCTAGCGCAGATCAATGCCGCCACCAGCTGCCACCCTTCGTGCTGCCACCCCTCGTGCTGCCACGGCACCAGATAAAAGGCCTGCAGAATCAGGGCCACCAAGGCTCCGAGACCAGCCCTGCCAACCCAGGCAAAGCCAACAGTTCTGAGTCTCACACTCTCGCAGGGCGGCCGGAGCGCATCCCGGAGTGTCCGCGGCAGTTTCCCGAGGAAAACAAGCGTCCTCCCGTCTAGCCGGGGCAGCTTCGAGCCTCAGGAGAAGCTGCGCCCGCCACTGTCAGCGATCACCAAGTTATTTGTGCTGTCAACGCATTTTGTGGCTTTCCTCTACTAGAAATGAACATTTTCCTTTTTAAAAAAGGGGGAGGGGGTAGTCCAAAAGTCTAAATTTCAGTGAAGCTCTTCTGAACTGAGTGTGTCTCATAGATTAGCCCACGGTGTTTAAAATGAGTATTTTTAAGGCATATACACGGGGTTAACCACAGGAAAAGAAATTATCTCGCTGGTCTCTTCACCGCTGGTACATCGCGGAGCTTATTCTGTGGAAGACCCTATTACAGGTAACATCAGATGAGGAGAAAATTGGAGGCAGGATGAGGCGGGGTCTGAAGAATAAGGCTAAGCCTTCGGGCTTTGGGGGAAACAGTCGAACAGAGAGTCGTTTCCCCGTTTGAGGCAGGGAACCACACAGAAACCCGGGGCACAGGACTCTGGATTGGTGGGGGTGGAGGTGTTTCGCGCGCCTCCGCCTTAGGGGCGGGGAAGAACCCGGATGAAACCATCCCCACAGTTGCGACCCCGCCCATAGTCTTTGAATCTCTGTGCGGGGCGGAGTTGCCCTCCCTTCCATACTCTGATTGGTTCGTGCTTGGTTTGCGATTGGGCGTTCCAGTGCCAGTCGCAAAGCGTCAGCGGTTTCTCAGATTGTTGCTAGGAGGAGACGGCAACGACGTCTAATTAGCCGCGCTGCGTCTTAGCTTGTGGTAGTGCGTTCTTCCTCCGGTGGTCGGAAGGTGCTGCTGGATTCTCAGCTGAGGGCCCTGGAAGGAGGCGTACACAGGCGGCTCGTAAACGATCCCTGGGGCCCAAGCGTTACCCTCGGCACCCACCTAGAGCTATGTCCTGGATGTTCAAGAGGTGAAGGGGGTGGAAGGGGTGTGGTGCAGGGGGATAACGGCCTAGGGTGTCCCCAAATGAACCTGACCTTCCCCCGTTCCTTTTCCCTTTTCCCGTGCGATTTCTGCAGCATGTACTCGTTTTGCTGGTGGCTCATATATCTATGGTAGAAATAAATGTATACTCTTTGTTGGCGAGTGAAGGCACCTCAGGCGAATGTATTGCCAAGGCCTTGGAGAAATCTCTGTCAAGGGCTGTCGGAAGGGCCTGGGGCTCAAAGCTGCAGTCCTTAGCTGGGATCGTGACCTGTGCTTTATTCAGCAAAACACCATTAGATATTCAGTGTGCATTAGGCATTGTGCTCGGAATAAAAGGCGAAGTCAGTCAGTCCTTGACCCTAAGTAGCGCAGTTTATGTGCAAGCAGAAACATGCAAATATATATTTGCCGAGAAACCAAGGGAAATGCGCAAGCGAGATACCTGTTTGTTCTTAAGGAGAAAGGATCGTTCTGGAAGCCCCCAGCGGACTTCCCTTTTTTCAGTTTCCAAATTGGTTTACTTGCACCTTCCTGAAATAGTTATCCATAAGGTGATTGAGGTTACCCTTAAACCAACGGGAGTGGGAGGCTTTAGGTCAATCTCCCATGATACCATCGTTGGGATGCCTGAATAAAATAAGGGTTCCGTTCGGAACGAATTGAAGTAATGGATGCTGGATATATTATCGGTAAAGATAGAACTTCACATATAAAAATAGTAATAGTTATATATTTGCAATCTCTTCTTGCTCAATCTCCATTGAAATTTTGGGTATAATTAGAGTTACCGGGTATAATTAGATACCACTTTGCAGTTTAAGTAGATGGTCACTGGGAAAGAAATTTATGATGTTTATTGGGGTTTTCATATTTTAAATGATTTTATGTATTTACTTTTAGAAAGAGGGGAAGAGGAGGGGGAGAGGGACATCAATATGTTGTTCCTCTTGCGAAGCCCCAAGAGATTTATGATGTTTAATGGGGTTTTCATTTTTTAAATACAATTTTAAATGATTTTATGCATTTACTTTTAGAAAGAGGGGAAGAGGAGAGGGAGAGGAGCATCAATATGTTGTTCCTCTTGTGAGGCCCCCCCACCAGGGGCACCTGGCGTGCAACCCAAGTCTGTGCCCTGACTGGGAATCAAACCAGTGATGCTTTGGGTCGCATGCCACCACTCAGTCCACTGAGCCTCACTAGCCCTGGGTGGAGTTGAGGTAGAGGGGTTCATTTTGAATACTCTGTGGGCAGAAGAGGCATTACGGAATAAAAAGGGTTCCTCAAAACCTCCCCCACTCACTCCAATTCTACTTTTACTAGAATAAACACTCTCTTAATTTTATATAGCAGTTGCCACATCAGATTTGATTGGTTGAAATAAAGTGTGAGAAAACAATTGGCCTATAAATATGGTATGGTTTTTGAGAAATACTTGGCTAAATTTTCTTCCTTTTTATTTATTTATTTTTAGAGATCCTGTTTGGAAGTATTTGCAGACTGTTCAGTATGGCGGAGTCCATGGAAATTTTCCACGCCTCTCATATCCAACTTTCTTTCCTCGTTTTGAATTCCATGATATTATCCCTCCAGATGATTTCCTAACTAGCGATGAAGAACTAGATTCAGTCTTATTTGGAACTTTGAGAGGTCATGTAGTTGGACTACGCTATTACACAGGAGTTGTGAGTATAACATTAGATTTTGAGTTAAAATATGTATTTATGGTATTAACCTAGAAAATAAGAATTAGAAAACTAAATTCATTTAGTTTTTTTTTTAAGTAATGAAATATATCTGGACAAGAGATAAATATCTAATGACTAATATTCTTTTACATTTATATCATACTTACAGTATGAAAAACACTTTTTCCTATATGGTCTCATTTGCTTGCTACAGTGACTCTCAGGTACATAGGGCATCTATTATCCCCTTTCTATAACTGAAGAACTGAAGTTCAAGAGGTTAAATGATTTGCTCAAAAAGCACAGATACTGTGCTGTACATTTGCCAAATGACTTCCAAGTCAGTCCACTGCTTTCTCCCCTCTGCCCCTCAGCACATTTCTACACTTTAATATTTTTAATTTAGGAAGATCAGCTCCTACTAACTAGATAAAGGAATTGTCTGTTATTAGGTCCGTCGTTCCTTTTGTAGTAAAACTCTTTGTCTCCCAGTTTTTCTTCCTGTATCTATCTTTATCTCTATTACCTGCAGTGTGTTTGTGTGTGTGTGTGGTGTGTGTGTATGAGAGAGGGTGTATGTGAGGGAGACACACAGAGAATGTATGACTTTCTCTGTTCAGTAGTTTCCTTTATTGTGGTTGTCTAGACTGTCTCTGTATTATCTGGATGATATACTTCTAGTTTTATTTTGAAAAGTTTTAAATGTGTCGATTCCCAGCCAGGGTACATGCTTGGGTTGCAGGCCATGGCCCCCAGCAACTGCACATTGATGTTTGTCTCTCTCTCTCTCTCTCTCTCCCCCCCTCCCCCCCTTCCCTCTCTAAAAGTAAATAAATAAAATCTTTAAAAAAAAGTTTTAAATGTGCATAAAAGTAAAATAATACAATAAACTCCATATACCTATGATTCACATTCAGTAGTTAGCAAGTTTTTTGCACATTTGCTCGATCCCTTTTTCATTTGTCCTTTTATAATAAAGATCCTAACTATATCACTTTATACTCATAAAATTAATAATAATTTTTATTATACTTAATAACTAACCCATAATCAGTTTTCTTGATATTTAAAATGTATTTTTATAGTTCATTTTTTCAAATCAGAATCAAAACAAAATTGATACATTATCTTTGGTTGTCCCCTTCACCTTTGTTTCATGTCATTGATTTGTTGAAGAAATTACATATGTTCTATGGAAAGTTCTAAATTTGTTAGTTTTTGTATTCCTCCATATATTTCTTATTTTGAAGTTTCTCAGATTTTTTTTTGGTTGAGATTCCTTAGGAAAGAATTGCATGATCTGGATTTGTCCATCTTTCATTCTCCCATATTTTATTTTTTAAAGTATATTTTTATTGATTATGCTATTACACTTCTCAATTTTTTCTCCCCTTTATAGCCCTCTGCCCTGTACAACCCTCCTCCCCCTCCAGCATCCCCTTCCCCTTAGTTCATGTCCATGGGTTGTATATATAAGTTCTTTGGCTTCTCTATTTCCTGTACTATTCTTAACCTACCCCTGTCTATTTTATGCCTACCAATTATGCTTGTTATTCTCTTTACCATTACCCCGCCATGCTCCCCCTCCTCATTAATAACCCTGTATGTGATCTTCATTTCTGTGATTCTGTTCCTGTTCTAGTTGTTCACCTAGTTTTTGTTTTTTGTTTTTTAGGTTCAGTTGTTGATAGTTATATTGGAACTTCTAATATCACTTTGTGATTGGAAATGTGTTATCTAGGAGATTCCTTACGAAGGAACAATAGTTTCTGAGTTTTTGTGTGCTCATTATTGTGATGTTTACACTAGTGATGCGTGGCTGAATATAAAAAATCCTTGACCCATACTTTCTCTCCATGATATCTTGATGTATAAAAAGTTGTTGGTAAGAATTCTCATGCCAATATGGGGTTATTTTTTTTTCCACATAAGTGAATTGAAATTTTTTTGCCTGGCTAAGTAAAAGAAAATTTTTCTTACCTTGAAAGTCCAATAGTTTTATTAAGGTTGTATCTTAGTGCTGACTGTTTTATAACATTGTTTTCTTATATTTCAGAAAATTTTCTTTAATTATACTAGTTTTAAATGTTTGCTTTGTTTCAAAGCTTGTTTTTCTTCAGGGGCTCCATTCTAGTCTCTCTATATTATATCTTCTGTTTATACGTATAACATATGTTTATGCCTAGTATTTCCTCAGAAATCCTTTTTATCATATTTTTTTCACTTTTCTGTTTTCATTATGTCCCTTACTATGGGACAGACCTTTTCATAAGGTCTGTTCAATTTTGTGTTCTTTGTACTTTAGTCTTTAATTCTGAGATTATTTTTCTTTTCTAACTTTTCTTAAATCTGTTGGCTTCTTATTTCATATTCACCAGTTCTCAGGCTTTCAATTAATCTCTGAGCTTTCCTATTTATGATTTGTTCTATTTTTTCCCAAAACTTGCATTATTTTGTAAATTACTTTAAACCATTGTAAAATATTAGATTTGGTTGCTATTGATCTTAGAACAATCACTTTTTTGATTTTAGAATAATTTCTTTGATACTGGTAAGTTAAAGATGTGGGCTGATTAAAAGTAACCATCACTTTTTATTTTTTAAAATGTGTATTATTTATTTTATAAGTAATACATGTTTGTTATTTTTAAATGGCTAAAATAAAATGCATTAAGTATTTATAAAGTCTATGTCCTAGAACCATAACTTTTATTCCCCTTGTTTTGCCTTCCACACTTTACCCTGTGAACATACACTTGTAAATTGAAACCATATTTATATAAACAAAAATGAGATCATGTTATGCCTATTACAGGGATCACCTTTTTTCTCAGTAAAATATTAATATCTTTTCACATCAGTACAAATCTATATTGTATTTTTTATTTCCCTATTGATGAACATTTTGGAGTTGATCACTATGATGAGAAACTGTTGTAATAAAAATTGAGGTATTTATCTTTGCATACTTTTTTTAAAGATTTTATTTATTTATTTTTAGAGACGGGGAAGGGAGGGAGAAAGAGAGGGAGAGAAACATCAATGTGTGGTTGCTTCTCACATACCTCCTACTGGGGACCTGGCCCGAAACCCAGGCACGTACCCTGACTAGGAATCAAACTGGCAACCCTTTGATTCACCGGCCTGCACTCAGTCTACTGAGCCACATCCGTCAGAGCTGCATACTTATTATTTTAAAACTTTTTTCAGTTTTGTTGAAATGTGATTTGCATCTCTTTTAAGTATTTAATCCCAAGAATTGCATTACATGTAAGTGTACGATTCCAAGTGTTTGACAAAGATATATGCCTGACAATCACCATCTCAGTCAAGATATCAATTGTTTCTATGCACCCTTAAAATTTTCTTGTATCCTGTTGAGGTTATTCCTTCCTGCCCCTGCCCGAACAACCACCAGTCTGATTACTGTCACTATAGATTAGTTTAGCTTGTTCTAGAGCTTTGTATACATTGAATCATACAGTATGTACTTTTTTGTTTGGCTTCAAATTCAGCATAATTCAGATACTCCTTGCTGCAATTTTGGCAATTCATATTTTTAAGAAAAACATTCACTTTGTTTAGATTTTCAAAGTTTCAGTCATAGAGTTGTACATTGTAATCATTTAACTTAAAAAGATTTTAACTGTGTTTATGGTTATATTCCTGTTTTCATTGTCTCTGTTATATATTTGTATTCTTTTTTATTGATTAGCTTTGATAGAGATTGATTTGTTTTATCTTTTCAAGCTACCTCTGTTGGACTTTTTAAATTATTATTGTCCTTTTTCATTGATATCTCTTTTTATATTCTACTATCCTATTTTACTTTATTTTTGGATTCTTGATGAACATTTAATGTTAGTATTATTCAGTAATAAAAGAACTTAATTTTTTTTATTTTTTAAAATATATTTTGTTGATTATACTATTATAGTTGTCCCTTTTTTTCTCCCTTATTCCCCTCTGCCCTGCACCATGTACCCCCTGCTCCCCCAGCATTCCCCTCCCTGCCCCAGCTTAGTTCATGTCCATGGGGCATAGATATAAGTTCTTTGGCTTCTCCATTTCCTATACTATTCTTAACCTCTCCCTGTCTATTTTATACCTACCAATTATGCTTCTTCCTGTACATTTTCCCTACTCCTGCTCCCCACTGATAACTCTCCCTGTGATCTCCATTTCTGTGAATCTGTTCCTGTTCTAGTTGTTTGCTTAGTTTATTTTTGTTTTAGGTTCAGTTGTTGATAGTTGTGAGTTTGCTGTCATTTTACTGCCCACAGTTTTGATCATTTTTTTTCCTTAGATCTAAGTCCTTTTAACATTTTATTTAAAGAGCTTGGTGATGAAAAACTTCTTTAACTTGACCTTTTCTGGGAAGCACTTTATCTGCCCTTCCATTCTAAATGATAGCTTTGCTGGATAGAGTAATCTTGGATGTGGATGTGGGTCCTTGCCTTTCAAGACTTTGAATACTTCTTTCCAGCCCCTTCTTGCCTGCAAGGTTTCTTTTGAAAAATCAGCTGGAAGCCTTTTGGGCACTCCTTTGTAGGTAACTGTCTCCTTTTCTCTTGCTGCTTTTAAGATTCCCTCCTTACCTTTAATCTTGGGTAATGTAATTATGATGTGCTTTGGTGTGTGCTTCCTTGGGTCCAACTTGTTTGGGACTCTCTGAGCTTCCTGAACTTCTAAAAATCTCTTTCCTTTGCCAGATTGGGGAAGTTCTCCTTCATTCTTTTTTCAAATAACTTTTCAATTTCTTGCTCTTGCTCTTCTTCTTCTGGCACCCTTATAATTCAGATATTGGAATATTTAAAGTTGTTCCAGAGATTCCAAGCCTCTCTTCATTTTTTTGAATTCTTGTTTCTTCATTCTACTCTGCTTGAATATTTATTTCTTCCTTCTGGTCCGAATTGTTTATGTGAGTCCCGGTTTCCTTCCCTACACTGTTGGATCCATGTATATTTTTCTCTATTTCACTTTGCATAGCCTTTACTTCTTCCTCTATTTTGTGACCATACTCAACCATTTCTTTAGCATCCTGATTACCAGTGTTTTGAACTCTGCACCCGATAGGTTGGCTGTGTCTTCATTGCTTAGTTCTGTGTTTGGAGTTTTGATCACTTCTTTCATTTGGGCCATATTTCTTTGTCTTGGTCCACCTGTTACATTCTAAGGGGTGGAGGCTTAGGTATTAGCCAGGACGAGGCAATGCAGGTCTCTGCATTGTGGCACTATATGTGGAGGAGGGGTACAAAGAGGAGGAGGGGAACAGTGCAGCTTGCTGGGCTCTCTGCCAGTTTTCAGTCACTTCCCCCACTTCTCACATGCAACTTGGGCTGTTCTGGTGCTGATTCCAGGGTGTATCGGCTTGTGTGTGTTCTAGGACCCTGTGCGTCTCTCCAATGAACTCTCCTGTGAGGCTGGGAGTTTCTCCCCCTGCTGTAATCCCACAGGTTTTTACAGCCAGAGGTTTGAGGCTTTATTTCCCCACATGGGAACCCTGGGTTACAGGGTCTTCTCATTCCCCATTTGTTCCTCTCAGTTTATCCACACACAAATGTGGGCTTGCCTGGTCCTCCAGCCACCACCTTGTTACAAGTCCTCTCTGCCCCAGCTGCCCATCTCTGCCCCTCCTATTAATCTGGATGAATGTTTCATCTTTAACTCCTTGGTTGTCGGACTTCCATACAGTTCGATTTCTGGCATTTCTGGTTGATTTTGTTTTGAAATTTGTTGTTGTCCTTCTGCTGGTTATGCAAGGAGGCAAAGTAGATCTACCTATGCCTCCATCTTGGCTGGAACTCCAAATTTAAGCGTTTAAATACCTTGAAAATACTGCATTGGTTGTATATCCTAAGTTTTGTTATTTTAATATTGACATTGCTCATTTTTAACTTTTTAATATTTATTTTCTATGAACTTACAGTTAAACTCTTTATCACTTGACCCTTTTAAAGTCTTTAGAGGTCCTGGCAAAGGTGGAGGTGTAGGTAGAAACTCTTTGTTTTCTTGCACAACCAAAAGGAGGATAACAACCAATCTAAAATCAATAAACAACCAGAAGTGCCAGAAAATCAAACTGCGTGGAACTCCAACAACCAAGGAATTAAAGAAACAGTCAACCAGAACAACCAGACTGGTAAGGTGGTGGATGGAGAGAACTTGCGGTGAGGCACTGGAGAATACAGGTGGGGCTGGATGCGGTGAGGTGGCAGACTGTGTGGGTGGGGCTAACTGAATGGGAAACTGAGACATGGCACTGTGGACTATGGCAGGGTTGCCACGGTAGGAGAAACTCCCAGTCTCACACAAGAGTTCATTGGAAAGGGGGGCTAGAGCCAAGTAGGCGAGCTGCATTGTTCCCTGTCTGGCCTCTTCCCCAAAGGTAGCATTACAGTGCAGCAAGGGGGTTGCCCTGCCCCTGGGAATACCTAAGGCCCACCCTTTTACAACTTAACAGGTATGACATGTCAAAGAAATAGGGCCCAAATGAAAGAACAGAGCAAAACTTCAGAAAGAGAGCTAAGCGATGAGGAGATAGTCAACCTATCTGATGGAGAGTTCAAAGCCCTGGTAATCAGAATGCTCACAGAACTGTCTGAGTTTGTTTGGAAATTGAAGGAACAAATGAAAGATACCCAAAATGAAATAAAGCAAAGTATTCAGGGAACCAACAGTGACAGGAAGGAAACCAGGACTCAAATCAATGATTTGGAATGAAAGGAAGAGATAAACACCCAACCAGAACAGAATGAAGAAACAAGAATTCAAAAAAAAATGAAGAGAGACATAGGAACCTCTGAGACAACTTGAAACGTTCCAATATCCGAATTATAGTAGGAAAAGAAAGAGAATAACAACAGCAAGAAATTGAAAACTTCCTTGAACAAATAATGAAGGAAAATGTCCCCAGTCTTGTGAAGGAAATAGACTTTTAGGAAGTCCAGGAAGCCCAGAGAGTTCCAAAGAAATTGGACCCAAGGAAGCACACACCAAAGCACATCATAATTATATTACCCAAGATTAAAGGTAAGGAGAGAATCTTAAAAGCAGCAAGAGAAAAGGAGACAGTTACCTACAAAGGAGTGCCCAAAAGGCTTCCAGCTGATTTTCCAAAAGAAACCTTGCAGGCAAGAAGGGGCTGGAAAGAAGTATTCAAAGTCTTGAAAGGCAAGGACCCACATCCACATCCAAGATTACTCTATCCAACAAAGCTATCATTTGGAATGAGTTTATTTGGATTTGTTAGGCTTCTTAGATATGTAGATTGATGTTTTTTTAATCAAATTTAGAAAGTTTCAGCTGTTATTTCTTCAAATATTCTTTTTGTCCCTTTTTCTGTTTCCCTTCTGAATATGCTTGCTGTTGTCCCAATGGCCTCTAGGCCTGTTCATGTTTTTACATTTGCTTTCTTTCTGTTCCTTAGACTCTATAGCTGTTCTTAAGATTTTATACAGGTTTCCCCTGTTAGCCAAAAGTAGAGCATTCCTATGAAACCTTTTGTAAACTGAAATGGCTTAAAGCAAAGTAGCAATAATGATTAATTTGTATGGAAAATTTTTTGAGCGTTCCCAGTCCCAAAATTCAACATACACACAGTCCATTTTGTTCATCATGATCAAAATGCATAATTATGTCCAGCTTTACACTAAATGTAACACCCTGGCAAGTTCTCTTAGGCTTTTCTGATATCTTTGGTCATACCTTGCTAATGATGCACAAATTAAATTGAGATAAAGCACAGATGCTCACAGATACAGTTCAAATCTATGGTGGTTTGATGCAGAAATGCCAAGTGTAGTTTCCCAGGGAACAAACTTGGTGGTGCCACTCTTGCTGCTCAGGGTGTGTGCTACCTCTATAACAGCTCACTGCAAAACAAAGGTTAAATGCTATTTTCTTCAGAAACCTTTTAATTGGTGAAAACAAATAGAATACTAATATGTAGGTCTTAATGTAAAAGTGAAGTGTCATTAACTCAGACTTTAGAAAAGTGGGGAATACCTGTAGTTTTAATTCACCCATCTTCACCTTCACTTATTCTTCAACTTGCTCATATCTGCAGTAGAGCCTCTTTAGTGAATATTTAACTTTAGTTATTGCACTTTTGACTCCAGAATTTCTATTTGGGGAGACATAGTTCTCATGCTTTCCTTTAGTTCTTTAAATGTGGTTTGCTTTAGGTCTTTGAAGATATTTAAAATTAAAATAAAAAAAATTTTAGTAGGTCACATATCTATTTTTCCTTAGGAACAGTTGATATTTTTTTTCTTGGAAACAGATTTTTTCCTATGAGTGAACTATATTTTCTTGTTGCTTTCCATGTCCCATTTTTTTGTTGTTGTTGAGAAGTGAACATTTTAAATAATATGGCAACACTACAAATCAGAATTTTCCTCCTCTCCAGGGTTGTTTGTTGCTGATTTTGGTAATTGTTTTTGTTTAGTGACTTCTGAATTAACCCTGTAAAATCTACCCTTTGTTGTGTGTGGGCACTTATGTCTGTACTTAGTTAGCTTGGTGGTCAGCTAATGATTGCATTGGAACTGGTAAATCTTCGAGTCTTTACCAAGAGGATCTGTGTGCATTTGGGGTACTCCTTTAACACACAGGCAACTGACAACTCTGCCTTAGCCTTCACTTCTTGGTTGTTCAGACCTTAAAGTTTGGTCAGAGGTGAGAGCTTAGGGTCTTCCCATGTCTTTCCTGAACGTATACAGCCATATGCTTATACATGGCCTTTTAGATTCCCAGGAATATGTTGGAGCTTCTCAAAGCCTCTTTGGACATCTTATTCCCCAGCTTTTTCTTTGCTTCAACTGTCACCCACTGCTGGTGTAAATTGTTTTTGACAAACACTCACCCAAGGGGGAATGTTTTTTGTACAATGTGAGCTCAGAGCTCAAATAACGACTGTTCTTTGGGAATGAATTTTGAAAGATTCTGCTCTATCGTGCACTGTGGTTACTGCTAGGCTGCACCAAGAATCTCAGCAGGTTGTTATTTTTAAAGGCTATCATGTAACTGAGAGTAGACTATGGGACTAGGGCCCAGATATTCTGCTGTTTTTCTTGATTGAACACTCCTCTTGTTTCTGCAATCCTTTTATTAGTTTTCAGAGTTCTGAAAAAGTTGGTTCTGACAATTTTTGCTGCCTTTTCCATTGTTTTTTGGAAGAGAGAATTTTCTGAAATCTTAATCTTTTTAAATAATAGTATCCATAGGTAATATTTAATCAAATGGAATCAGAATGGCATGAGTTGAAGTCTATATATATTTTCTTATTCCAGTTCCATTTTTTACTTATGAGTAATACCTTTCCCCCCTTTTAGAGTCTAAAGAATTCAGATTTAGGAACCAGCTGGCCTAGATTAAAATCCTAGCTCTCCTACTTACTAGCTTTGTGACCTTGGGCAAGTTACTTCACTTTCCTGTGCTTTACTGTCTTCCTCTGTAAAACGGGGATAATAAATAATACAAACTCAATCTGTGTAATGCACTTAGAACAATGGTAGCACTCAATAAAGATGACTTGTTTTCAGAAGTTATGATGTTGAAAATTTTAGACAGTGTGAATCTGTTGTTAATTTTGATTGTGCCTCTTAGGTATCAAAGATTTGTTAATGTCCCAATGAACATAAATTAGAAAAATATTATATAAGAACTATTAAAATATATTCCTTAGTATTTCTGTAAAAATATGAGTCCAAGAAAATGCACATTTCTTATGTAATGTTACTCAGTAATCATTAAAAAATGAGTGGAAATTCCAGAGAAATAATGACGAAGAAACTATTATTAATGTTTATTATTTCTAATATTATCTGTTCATCATTTTTGTTAGGTTAATAATAATGAAATGGTTGCATTACAACGAGAACCCAATAACCCCTATGATAAGAATGCGATTAAAGTAAACAATGTGAATGGAAATCAGGTTGGCCATGTAAAGAAAGATCTCGCAGCGGCTTTGGCCTATATTATGGACAACAAATTGGCACAAGTTGAAGGGTAATGTACTTCAGAGTTTAGATTTAATAATTTTGAGTTGTAGTGATCTTTGAATTTGTTAAGAGACTGTATAGTTGCTGTAACAACTTTTTTCACTATCCTCTTGGTATGTGTTTAATAAATGCTTTAATTCTCCTCTGATCTACCTCTACTGCCCTAGCTATTCCCTCACTTTCTTATTGAAGTATTATTACCCTAGAGAAAAATATACTTCAGTTTAAATATTAGGAAGTTTACACGTCTCCAAACTTTTTAGTGCATAGATTTGAGAGTTTAGAAGTGTTTGTTTAAATCAGAGGTTGTAAAACTGGTAACCTGTCATCAGATGTAAGTGAACTTCATTTTGCCTACAAAGTATTTACAAATTAAAAATATTTTCCCCCAATATTTGAATATTTGGATATTCTACATTTTATACATGTTATTTTTCCCCTAAATATAAAAATTATTTATGAAGATTTTTCTTGACAAATGGAAGATCTGGTGATTCTGATCTTTTATTTCCACATGACATCAGTTGACTGCTGTAGCTTCATCAATTCATACTCCGAGTTCTACCACCTCTTCCTTACTTAAACTAATCTCCTCAGTTACCTTTTTCGTTTAGGCATTTGTGTTTGTGATCTCAATTTAAGTATGGAATGTTTAGGATATGAACAGGTGAGTTTGGAAGGTAAAGGTTCAGCAATATCTTCTCACTTTACTTGTGTACTTGTTTTCTTCTTTCTCAGTTCATCAAGTTTTTCAAATATTGGGAATAAATTTATGGTAAATCCTAGATCAGAAATAGTTCTTGCAAATCATTCCCCATTCTTATAATGGGTTGCTACTCTCTGGTTCTATTAATGAAAGCTCTAACCTCTCAATTAAACTTACATCTTACTTATCTTACAATCTTGATTATGAACTATCCTTGTGTTTAAACTGCTTTATTCCATCTTCTCAGTTTTTTATGGCATTCTGTTTATTAAAACCACGCTTTTCTTCTGATTGTTGTTGATTCTATTCCATCATTTTTCTGTCTTTATAGTCTGCCCAACTCGTTCTTCCCTGTTTTACTTCATGCAAAATTTGAATACAACACTTAGACTATTTAATAGATTCTTCATGGGAGTAAAAAATGACATTTTTAGTTTCCTACCTTTTTTTCCTTCTTAAATATAATAGGGTAGTTCCTTTTGGTGCAAACAACACTTTTACCATGCCTCTGCGTATGACTCTTTGGGGAAAAGAAGAAAATAGAAAAGCGGTTTTAGACCAGTTGAAGAAACATGGATTTAAATTGGCTCCTGCACCAAAAAGTAAGTTTAGAGTTTAACCTACTATTGATATCGTAAGAATGTAGGAATTGTAAACATTTATTCTGTTAAGTAATACTTCGAGTTTGGTTGGCTGAACTAATTTGCACCAAAGACTCTAGGTTATAATTTTATTTGGTGTTTTTAAAAGAAAATCCCTGAATTTTTTCTCTTTATTTTGAAACAACTATAGATTTATAGGAGGTTATACACACACAGAGAAATGTACAAGGAATTCCTGTAGTCTCTCCCCTAAATTCTCCTAATGATAATGTCTGGAAATCCTGACTATAAACATTCTCTTTAATAAATTATAGACAATTAGAATCTCGCAATAGGGAATGAAAAAGAATGATTTGTTTGGCAAGTATTTGTTCAAATAATGTGGAATTACTTTAATAATGTGTTTTTTGAATGACAGGATTTAGCTTTTAAAAAACCTTTAAACATATTAAAAGTATTTTTAATGGAGTTACAAAAGCTAATTTACTAAAAGGTAGTCTATTTTATTTGGTGATTTTATTTTCATTTTGAAAATTACAGCTTTCGGATTCAGTTTGGAAAGTGGTTGGAGCTCTGGAAGAGCTGGACCAAGCTATAGTATGCCAGTTCATGCAGCAGTACAGCTGACAACTGAACAGGTGTGCTTTTTTTTTCTTTTTAAAAAATATTTTATTTACTTTCAGAGAGAGGGAAAGGGAGGGAGAAAGAGAAGGAGAAAAGCATCAATGTGTGAGGGATACTGGTTGCCTCTCACAGGGCCTCTAACCAGGGACCTTGCCTGCAAATCAGGCATGTGCCCTGACTGGGAACTGAACTGGAAACCTTTCACTTCACAGGCTGGCACTCGTCTTCTGAGCCACACCAGCTAGGGCCAGGTGTACTTTTACTTTGTAATCTAAAAGTGATTTTTAAATGTTGAAGAGTGATGTTTAAAAGAATAAGATAAATATGTAGGTGCTGGCATAGTGATCTTCAGATACATTGTTAAGATATGAAAGATGTAGAATAAGTAGGATGTATATTGCAAACATTCATGTAAAAAGAGAGCAGTGGTAAGGAATATATCCATGGAGTCACATTCATACATACATTAAAACTCATACATTTCTGTATATGCATGGGATGTTTTAGTATGTTTTGATGTTTTTGTATTGTTTGATTTTCTTAGAATGTGCAAATATTTCATAAAACACTGAAACTTGAAACTTACTCCTTTCAGTAAGGTTGCAAATGCAGTGCTAAAAAATTTAATTCTAGTTCTTTGGCATTACTCTGATTCTTACTTGTCTAATTTGTAATCCAGGGTACAGTTATGCTGAATTAGTTTGAAAAAAAAGGGATGTTAAATAAAGTAATGCAATTCAGTCTACAGATATCATCAAAAAGGGATGTTAAATAAAGTAATGCAATTCAGTCTACAGATATCATCAAAACGTTTTTTTGTCTCTACCCATCAGTAGTAATCTTTTTGTATTTTAATTGTAATTATTGTATTTTTCCTCTGCTTATTGTTAGAAGGACTTGATCTTATATCTGGTGGGTAAACCCCAGGTTACTGCTCCTAAATTTTTAGAGTTGGCCTGATTTCTTCTGGGCTATTGCTATGTATTTATCTGCTAGTTTACAAAAGTAATTATAACACATATGTATTGCTATAAAATTTGACTAGATCAGTTTAGAGAATTAACTAAATTAGCATGAGATTGAAATTATCCTAATATTTTACAGCATATAGCAAGTTTTTACTGCTATAATAATAAATAAAAAGTCAATGGCTGAAAAAAAAGTCAAATGTACCTGGTAGGATGTACTAAAATAGTTCAAATACAACTATGTAATAGAATCACAGAATTTCAGTATAGAAGGAACCTTAGAAACACTCTAAATCTAGTTCATTCCTGTCATTTTACAGGATTTTATCAGATGCAGGGCCATAAATGTCTTGCCCAAAGACAGGAATGTCTTGCCCAAAGTTATGTATAGATTTATTTGTGACAGAGCTGTTACTGAAACCCAAGATTTACAATGTTCTATTCTGCATTCTTTTGATTATAACACACTTACCTTTTACCCCTAGAGCACCTATTCATCCTGCCTTAAATGAGCAGCATAGTATCTTAAACAATTTCATGTGCCTTTCATTATTCAACTTTTATAGTTAATTAAATGATTTGAACTCCCCGAGTTAAGTGTAATTATTATTTTAATCGATGTTTCATAACGTTTCTTGTTGCTTTTTGTTGTAGCTTAAAACAGAATTTGACAAATTATTTGAAGATTTAAAAGAAGATGATAAAACTCATGAAATGGAACCAGCTGAGGTACTGAGCCAATATTTTCTATTTAAATCTATCTGGAATTTATGAGACTGAAAACTATTTGGAATTTTAAAATACGGTGATAGTCTATACATTTTTATCACAGGATCAGCTGTTTCCAGATTTGGGGGTGGGTGGGAAGAAGGAGCTTATTGTATCTCTATTTATGACATTGTTTTTATTTACAGGCTATTGAAACACCATTGCTTCCACATCAAAAACAAGCTCTAGCTTGGATGGTTTCTCGGGAAAACAGTAAAGAACTTCCACCATTCTGGGAACAGCGAAATGACTTATACTACAACACAATAACAAATTTTTCTGAGAAGGATCGACCAGAAAATGTCCATGGAGGAATTTTGGCTGATGACATGGGTTTGGTAATTATTTTTTCTTGAGTTAGTAAAATTTTATTTTGTAATTATAATTTTATAAAAAGTAATTTTGAAGTAGATAGAGATAGGAATATGTTGGTGCCAGTAAGGGACGAGATTTTGCTTTCAGTGTAGAGCATAATTTTTCTTATGGTTTTCACCTAAAATAATGTTAACTTTTTTTTTTGTCTTTTTCTGTTAAGGCACAATTAAGATAATCAGTGTAATAGTATATCACAAATGTTGTGATATGCAGAGTATTAAATCATATATTTATGATTCCTTATACCAGCAGTTTGTATATTTTTTGGTCTCAGTAACCCTTTACACACTTAAAGATTATTGAGGAGCCCAAAGAGCTTTTGTTTTTGTGGGTTACATCTATTAATATATCTATAAATATTTATAGTATTAGTAAACAAAAATTTTAATCATACTATTTGTTAATGTGAATAGCATTTTTTGAATAAAAAGTATTCCAGAACAAAAGCAATTTTGATAAGAAGACTGACTTTTAGTTTTGCATATCTCTATCATGTCTAAGGTAATAGATGACATCTGAATTTTTGTATCTGCTTTTTTATTCAGTGTGTTGTGATTATGTTCTGGTTAAAATATATAAGGAAAATCCTTATACAGATATGCAGTTGGAAAAGGGAGGAGTTTTAGATAATTATAGATATTCTTCTTTGATACAATAACAAAATTAAGCAAGTATTAGTTTAATTTTTTAAAGATTTTATTTATTTTTAGAAAGGGGAAGGGAGGGAGAAAGAGGGACAGAAACATCAATGTGTGGTTGCCTCTCGTACACCCCCTACTGGGGGCCTGGCCCACAACCTAGGCATGTGCCCTGAATGGGAATCCAACTGGCAACCCTTTGGTTCGCAGTCCAGAGCTCAATCCACTGAGCCACACCAGCCAGGGCAGTTTATTAAAAATTAGTAGTTATGATATGAAAGTTAAAGATCGTACCAGTGAACTTTTTATACTCTGCTTCATTAAAATCCATTGGTGAGGCTTACAAATTGCATGGATATTTTACCCATGCATGGTTTTATAACATCAGACATTGGCCTTCTGGAAAATACTGGTTCACTGAGTTACACAGCTCTGTCAAGTGTCATGCATTTCATTATATTATATAAAAAATTCACATTCTTTGGTAAAACTGCTGATCTTATTAGGCACTTACATTTTGGGAAGCTCCTATGCTCCATAGTATTGGGTACAAGTTTTCCAACATTCTGATTTTTGCTTGAAAGCTCAAATTTTGTCATTAACAGATGTTGTCAGTTGTTTCTCTTGAAGATGATAGCCTCCCTTTGTTCATTATTCAAGAAAATTTCTGCCTCTCTGTCATGAATAACTAGTTGTTAGTTATTCTTTCAAGTAAAAATGCATGAAAAAGTGATGAGATGTGGTGATGCATGGTGGTTAGTTGAGCTTGAACTCACTCTCACAATGATTTTTCCCTAGATAACGCTCATATTTTGGTATTAGCAGAAGTATTTCATGTGTACTTCCTATCTTGTTACACAGAATATTTAAAACATATGTACTTACGAGACAAGATTTAATAAAATTAGTGTGTACTGCTTCATCAAGTACATTTATAACATTCTTAAAGTGAAACTGGAATTTAAATTTTTTTTACTGTATGTGGCAGTTAATACAATAACCACTATTGGAAAGTAGTGTCACCTGCTTTGTTTTATGCTAAGGCACCAGCAGTTTTGCCCACCATTGCTTTTTGTGGCATTACTACAGTGTGAACACAAGTAAATATTATGACAGTAGTTTTGATGGCACATAACTCCTGAAAAAGCTCTGTGGACCACACTTTGAAAATTGTTGCTTTACACAACTTTAAAATTCTCAGATTTATTTCTGTGTGGCTAATTATACATTTAGCTATGGAAAATAATGAAAAATTACACATTTTCATTTAAGAAAAACGTACAAGATATATCATATTCTTCATGCTTCATAGATAAGTTATAGCTTTTAAGTGTTGCAATTATGTTTAAATGAAATTTAATAAGGTCTTTAACTTCATGTGTATACTGTAATTACTAATAATTTTAAATTAGCTTTGAGTTCTTTGGCAAGCAGAAGTCATAGTTTCATGATAAAGTTATTAGTTCATGGTTAAATATAAAATCTTAGAAGAGCAGTCATTAGATAAAATGACATTTCCCAGAGATGTTGATAGTATTTTAGAGTAAATCATTTAATAATTTCTAATAATGCGGTGTGGGAAAGTATTTCTTAACTTAATGGAACACTTCATTAATATGTGTATTGTTTAATATAATAATCAGTACACTTACATGGTTTTGAATGTTATTTAATATTTGCTTAACTGATTTTAAAGTTGTTTTGGAATGCTCTCCTGTCAACTGGGTTTCAGAATCTGACCATTTGTCTTTTTAAAACATTTAAAGGGCAAAACTCTTACAGCCATTGCAGTAATTCTTACCAACTTCCATGATGGCAAACCTCTTCCTGTTGAAAGAATTAAAAAAAATCAGCTGAAGAAGGTAAAGTGTTAATAAATGTTTTCTCTGAAGTCTTTTGTTTAGTGTTAAACCTTTTAATTTTGTCATTGAAAATAATTGCCAAAAATTTGATAATATCCAGTGTTTTCAGAGATGTCAGGAGTGCCCTCTCTCATGTGTTGCTGATAAGAGTGAAGGTTGGTACCACATTCTTGAGGGCATTTTGGTAATATGTATCAAGTGTCATGAAAGTGTTTATAATCTTCAACTCAGTAATGCCATTTGAAAAAAACTACCCAAAGAAGTTATTAGAAATATATTTTTTCCAAAGATAAAAGTACAAGTCTTTTCCCCCTAACCGCTATTTTAAATGCAGAAAACAAACACTTCTCAGGAAGGTAACAATTAAATTATAATATAGTTATGAAATTTAATACTGTTATACAAAAATAAAAAATTCTAGTTTTGAAGAATACTTTCATGATATTCTTTAGTTAAAAATACCAGGTGCTGGGAGGGTGGCAGGGCCAGATATGAATCTGTGTATAGTGTGTTTGAGTCCTAATTTGGAAATACGTATTTATGTATGTCTAAGTGTAGTTAAACACTATATGTGCCAAATGTTAATAGTGATAATTATGTCCTAGTGATGAAAATATAGGTGACTTTTCATATTTAATTTATATACATTATATATATACTTAATATATTCGTTTTCCATTTCTGAGAATTAAATTGAATTTGTTTTATGAGAAAAATAAATGCCATTAAAATGAAGCACTATTTTTTCTTCTGACCTGAAAATTCAAAGAACTTAAAGAAGGAAATAACTAAGCAAAAGATCTGTGCAAAAATATATTTTTAGATCTCTAATTTTTTTAGATTTCAAAGAGGCTGCACATCGGTTTCCTGCCACTGCTTATTGAGATCCTGTTTTATTAATTTCTGCACTTAGTTGCATTTCCTTCTTTGTACTTTTATTAGGAGTTTAACTGTTTTAATGTCTGAGATTCAGCTTTTTACCTTGAATAAGTCCAATGATTTATGTCCTCTTCTTTTTACATTTGGTTATTGAAACAGAACAGTAGCACCTAAGACTATTTACGGCTGTAGTGTCAATTACCAATTTTTTTTTATTTTTTAAATTTAATTTAATTTTATTGATTATGCTATTTAAGTTGTCCCATTTCCCCTTTTCATTCCCCTCCACCTTGCACACCACCTCTGACCCACAGTCCCCACCTTTAGTTCATGTCCATGTGTCATAAGTTCTTTAGCTTCTACATTTCTCATATTGTTCTTGCCCTTCCTTGTCTTGCCTGTTTTCTACCTACCATCTATGCTACCTATTCTCTCTACCTTTTCCCCTTCTCTCCTCCTCTCACTCCCCTGTTGCTAACCCTCCATGTGATCTCCATTCCATTGCTTCTGCTCCTGTTCTGCTCCTGCTCCAGTTGTTTGCTTAGTTTGCTTTTGCTTTAGGTGTGGTTGTTAATAATTGTCAGTTTGCTGTCATTTTAGTGTACATGTTTTTTATCTTTTTCTTAGATAAGTCCCTTTAACATTTCATATGATAAGGGCTTGGTGATGATGTACTCCTTTAACTTGACCTTATTGGAGAAGTGCTTTATCTGCCCTTCCATTCTAAATGATAGCTTTGCTGGATAGAGCAACTTTGGATGTAGGTCCTTGCCTTTCATGACTTGGAATACTTCTTTCCAGCCCCTTCTTTCCTGCAAGGTCTCTTTTGAGAAATCAGCTGACAGTCTGATGGGCACTCCTTTGTAGGTAACTATCTCCTTATCTCTTGCTGCTTCTAAAATTCTCTCCTTATCTTGAATCTTGGCTAATGTAATTATGATGTGACTTGGTGTGCTCCTCCTTGGATCCAACTTCTTTGGGGCTCTCTGAGCTTCCTGGACTTCCTGGAAGTCTATTTCCTTTGCCAGAATGGGGAAGTTCTCCTTTATTATTTGTTCAAATAAGTTGTCCACTTGTTGCTCTTCCTCTTCCCCTTTTGGCACCCCTGTAATTCAGATGTTGGAACGTTTAAAGATGTCCTGGAGGTTCCTAAGCCTCTCCTCATTTTTTTGAATTCTTGTTTCTTCATTGTTTTCTGGTTCATTGTTTCTTTCTTCCTTCTGGTCCATTCCATTGATTTGAGTCCCGTTTTCTTCCCATCACTATTGGTTCCGTGTGCATTTTCTTTCATTTCACTTAGTGTAGCCTTCCTTTTTTCCTCTAATTTGCGACCACATTCAACCAATCCCATGAGTATCTGATTACCAGGGTTTTGAACTATGCATCTGATAGGTTGGCAATCTCTTTGTCGCCTAAAAGTATTTGCTCTGGGGCTTTGATCTGTTCTTCCATTTGGGCCTTTTTTTTTTTTCCTTGTCGCTCCTGTTACGTATGCAGGGCGGAGCTTTAGGTGTTCCCCAGGGCAGGGCAACCCAGTTACTGGGTTGTGACACTGTATGTGGGGAGTGGGGTCCGAGAGGGAGCAGTGGTGCTTGCTCTGCTCTCTGTCAGATTTCAGTCCCTTCCGCCGCTTCCCCCAAGCAAACTGGGCCTTTCTGGTGCTGAATCCCATGTGGGTGGGTTTGTGTACATTCTAGGCCCCTGTGGGTCTGTCCAACAAACTCTGCTGTGTGGCTGGGAGTATCTTCCAGCACCTCAACCCCCACAGGTGTTTTCAGTTGGTGTTTTGAGGCTTTATTTCCCTGAGCTGGGTAGGGCCCTGGGATGCGCAGTCTGTCTTACAATGCAGCTTCGCCTGGTTTGTCTGCTCATGAATGTGGGACCACTCGGTCAGCCAGCTGCCCTGTGTGCCTCACTGGGTCTGTCGGCTGCCGCCTGTGTGCCCGGGTCTGTCAGCCACCACCTTGTGCACTGGGGTCCACAAGCCACCACTCTTTTCCCAGCTGCCCAACTCTACCCCTCCTACCGGACTGGATGAATGTGTCTCTAGCTCCTTGGTTGCTGGACTTCTGTACAGTTCAGTTTTCTGTCAGTTCTGGTTATTTCTTTGGTTTCTAAATTTTTGTTGTCCTTAATTTGGTTGTGTGAGGAGGCACAGTATGTCTACCTACACCTCCATCTTGGCCGGAAGTCTTCAATTACCAATTTAAAACTTACCTATTATCAATAAGGCTTTCCCTTTTTACCCCAAGATCATCCATGCATACATGTAAGGTGTAATGTAGTTGAAAGGTTTTAGGATAGTTTGTTGCACATTAATTGAAATTCAGGCTGAAAATGTGATTTCTAGCTTAGAATTTATTGCAACAAAAATTTGAGTGATTAAAGTAGATTTAGATATTCCAAACTTACATAGTAAAGTATCATTGATTTAAATTTCATTAGACAGAGTGTAATATTGGATATGTTGGACTTTGTAGAAAGTTTATCTTTGAACTCTATGGAGAAAAAGCTTGCTGAACAAAATTATTTCATATAAAAAGAATAATATAAAGGACATTTTTATTTGTGGATAAACTTTTAGATCATTTTTGCATATTGATTAAATGGTTGTACTAATTATTGAAGATCAAAAGACATTTTTTACATTAGTTCCTTGGAGTTAATGCTTTAAAAATTAATTATCTAAAATAACTATTCTAGCTACATATTTCTTAAAATGTTACATTTTGGATTTTTTTAATACCAAGGGAATGGATCTTCTTCCAGACACATTTTTAGTGACTCTTGACTAAAATTATATCTTATTAGCCCTAATTTTCTGCACAGATTACCTGTATTTCTTCCTATCAATCCTCCTCTCCACACTGAGGTTTTAATTTACAATATGACAATATCACCTAGCTTTCTTTTTAAACTGAAAGAATTTAATTAAACCCCATTTTATTTGTCATCTCTACCTACAGATTCAAGAAATAGAAGTATGATGAGAGGAACCCTTCTTTGCTAGACTCAGTTAAAAATATTTTCACAAGAAAGTATAAAGTTTTGCTTTCATAGAAGCTTTCGTAGTCATGTGTGTATATACATCAATGCATTTTGAAATGAAAGGGTACACATGAAGGAAAAAGGAAAGGGTCAGGTTGGCAGGCAATGGCAGCCTCATTAAAGAACTATGATTTACTGTAGGGACTCTTCCTTTGAAAGTTTGTAGTCTGAGAATTCCTTTCAGTTCTAAAGTACTCCCATTTTATGAATGTTTCTCATAGTAACTGATATTCTGTTTATAATCAATGTCTGCTTTTTGTATTCCCTTTGAAAGGTAAAGACCAACTGGTTTTATTTTTGAGATACCTGTCAAAAAATGGGTAATCAATTTGTGTAGTTTTCCTTTTTACTTAATGCACCTACACCTTTACTCCAGGATGGGGTAAGAATTTACATAGTCTTTATTATGAAAAATAAAGCAATATAAAATAGGGTGCTTTTAAACTTATTTAAAACTGACAGCAGTGCTTTGTAAGAAATATGCCTTCTCACCCAGGAATGTAATGTTAGTGATGAATCTGTGAAACTTGGAGGAAACAATACCAGTGGGAATACAGATGGACTAATCACAGGTAAACTTTAATTTTGAATATGACTCCATATATTATTGAGATTTTTCTAATTTAATTATGTAATTCCAGTTCTGGCTTGTACTATACAAAAACTTCAGATCTCTTTTTCTAAAGAATTTCATGAGTACTGGTAGTCAGGAAAAATTCCATCAAGGAGGTAATAATGGAATTGGGTGATAGTACACCAGGCAGAGAACTGAAGAACATTTTTGCCTGAGAAAAATTTCCTGTGAAAGACAGTAATAAAGCAAAACAAAACCCAAACCATATAGCATATTTTGTTCTGGGACCTCAGAGTAATTTATGGTATTTATAATGTTATGTGCATGGATAGCAGCAGACAAGGAAAGAAAGGTAGGTTAGAAATGAATTCTGAAGTCAGAGGAGAAATAAAGAGATCTCTGGACTTATCACTTATATGGCTGGATTTAGCAATCACTTCACAAAATTAATTTCTGAAGATTGGTTAGAGCAGAACAAAGTATTTTGAAGTAAGTATAGTAAATGAAAAATTGGAAATTCAACTGTGTGCTATTTGTACTTTTGAATGTTTGAGCTAGGATAGAAAAATAGTTGGAAAGGGATGCAGAATTGAGGGATTTTTAGAGTCTTTTTTTTAGTAAGAAAGAAATCTATGGATAGGAAGATTTTAGATACAATGGAGAGAATAATTTGTAGGTCTTTGGGAGGAAGTGAGATCAAGGGAATAGGTAGATTAATTAGCATTAGATGGAAAGTGTGGTTCAAGGGAAATGTAGATAATTGAGGGAGTGAAAAGGTGGAAAAACTGGGAGTTTATAGAAGATGACATCTGATTTTCTTTGGAAAGTAAAGCAGGTCATCTGCTAGGAGTATAAAGACTTAAGAATCTAGGCAGAGAATCCAATGTAGATCTTTCCGGTGAGTAGGCAGGGAGAGACTATGTGGTACATAAAAGATTTGTTAAGTGACACAAGGTGACAGCTGAGACTTGAAAATATTAATTTATAATTTCATCTACTTATTGTTAATTTTTTTTGGTAGCTGTCAGCTGCCTTGGTACAGCAGGAAATTCAGCCAGTGTGGGGATTGGTTGGATGACTACAGGGAAAGAATGGGTACAAAAAATTGATACTTTTTAGTGAGAAAACAGTAGAATAGGAAACAAATAGAGTAGATGGCTAACTGAAAAAGCAGGAATGAAGATACTACGAAAGTTGTAATTCAACAAAAAAGTAACAAAAACAAGAAAAAGAAAGTTGTACTATTGAGTTGGAAAACCAGAGTTTTAGGAAGGATACTACTAGTCTAAGACTTTACTAATATTTTGTATATTTGTTCTTTTCTTTGCAATAGAAGGACCTATGAGTAGTGGAGAACCCAGTATTTCAGATGTCAAGGGAAAGAATAAATATCCTAAGTCAGAATCATCTAGCTCCCGTTCCAAGAGGTAAAACTCTTATGTTTTCTTAAAAAATATTTCATTTATTTTATTTTTAGTGGAGAATGGAGGGAAAAAGAGAGGGAGAGAAACATCAATGTGTGGTTAATCTCATAATTTTAAACACCATCTTGTTACAGAATGGACCTATGCAGGAGTTCAAAATACTATTACCAAATGGACCCCCCTTCTCCCGGGGTCCCCCTGTTTTAGGTTTGCCTTGCCCGCCACCAGGGAATTGCAGCTCTCAATGTCAGAGATTGGTGGAAAGGAAAGGAAAGGAATTATTTATTCAAAAGTTATACAAACTTAAAAGTAATGACTTAATGTCTTCATTGAGATCCCAAAGTCCCTTAGAATACCCATAGATGCACACAGTCCTTCCTTCCCACCTTTGCCCAGTCTGGGGTGCTGTATCTCAGGAAAAGAAATAGAAGTCTGTGGCTTAGGTAGCTCCTGGTTCCTCCCAGTAATCTGTACTTAGCTGGCAGGCCTCCCTTGGTTCCCAGAACCATCAGCTGTGTTGCCGCGGCGATCTCCAGTTCTTAATCCAAAACCCATGTGGCACCTTCTCTTGGCCCACCAGCAAGAGTTCTTTCACCGCTTTCCTTCCTGCAGTGTCTCTCCTTCATTCTTCCAAATGGCTAAGAGAGAGCTCTGCATTGCTGCTACATCTTGCTTTCCAGCTTCCCAAGCTGTGTGGCAAAGGGAGCCCCAAAGCCATGTGGTTCTCACTCACTCGCCAAAGCTGCATGGCCCCCCTTTCTCAGCAAAGCCACGTGGTCTCTCTTCTTTCTCCAAGCTCTCATGCAGGCACTGTAATGGGTGGGAGGTTTATTATGGTTTGATTGTATGTAATATACTTATTTAAACCCTTTCTTCATTTTTTATATATGGGAGAGAGCTATAACCATTATATCTGAGTTATATTGTTCTCTTAAATACATTCTTTTACTTGAAAATGACAAAAATCACCATGAATTGGGCAGGTAGACAGTTCTCCTTTTATAGGTGAAGAAAAACATTGATATATAAAATAAGTGAATTGGTAATTTTTAATCACCTGCTTCTACCACTTTTTTCCTGTTTCATTCATGTAGGAACTAAGATCTAGCTTCTGTGTGGTTTGTTTTTCTTAAGACTTTACAGTGTTTTCTTTATGAACTTCAGGAGATGAAAACTGACATATTAATTGAATGGCCTGACAGAAGCGCTCTTTGCTCATCTCTGTACTTTCTCACTTTACTTTTAGTGAAAATAAGACATGGTAAAGTCATTTGTGAAGAATATTATATTAATGTACACTAGAGGTAATATTTGAATAAAACACATAATGCCCCTCTGATTTCAACTTGATTCTGTTAACTTTGTAAATTTTATTTGCCCTCTGAAGTAGATCTAAATACTTGGCTTTTGTTATATTGTATTTATTGTACACCATCAATATCTGCTGTGTAACCTCAAATCTGTTAGCTCTTAAACCAACAGAAATCTCAAAACTGGGACTCTGTTAATCGTTTTCTATCATTAAAACCTGCCTGTGCCAAGCACAGAATCAGGACTCATCAGTTTTCCTCTCATCTTAATACCAAATCTGACAGCTCTGAGCTGACCATGAAACTGGTTAACAGACCAGATACGATTTGAAGGGCATAGAAATAATAATAGTGGTGATGAAGACATGGGAAAAACTAAAAATAACAACCAACACACGTATGACATCTAACACATATATACTTACTATGCAATAGACACTATTTTAGGGGATTTATTTGTACTACCATATTTTATCCAGTGAAGTGGATTGTATCTTTATTTTTCAAATGAAGAAACTGAGGCATAAAAGACTATTAGATATCTTACCTGAAGTCACATAGCAAGTAAGTGGCAGAATGGAGATGGAATCTGTGCAGTCTGACTCTAGAGCCCATTGTTCTTAGGCACCTAAATACTGTACTATACTTTTTCTCTACAAAATTTCCAGTATTTTGCATTGTGAAAGAATTGTATTTTTGCCTCTTAGCTGCTATTTCATTGTATTGGAAGTGTTGGATAAGAGTGATTTTTTTTTGTACTGGTTTTATATAAGTGTTTTAATTTAATTGAGCTCAGTGTTGAAATTATTATAGAATGGTTTTATTTTACTTTTTCAAAATTAATAATAGTGGTACTGCATTTGGTATAGTAAATGTATCTAGTTATGAAAGCAAAATACTTTTAGCAAATTTGACTTTCATTTGTCAAATAAAAAGTTTCATGTGAATTTTGTGCAAAATATAAGCAAGGGAAATACAAGAAATCATTGTGTTGTATTTAGTAAGCATGTTTTTATTTAAAATCTTTTGTTTTGGGTTGATGAAAAATTTACATACACTTATTTTTAGAAGAAAAACTGCTGTCCAGTATATTGAAAGCAGCGATTCAGAAGAGATTGAAACTAGTGAATTGCCACAGAAAATGAGAGGTAATAAAAAATGGATTTGATTTGATCTGTGTTTTATATTCTGATTTCCTTCTGTGAGCATTTTTATATTTGGTTGTTTGTAGGCAAACTGAAAAATGCACAATCAGAGACAAAAAGCAGAGTAAAAGGTATGTATATACATCTCACTATCTGTAATCTACACTTAAAAATTATTAAAGAAAAACCTTATTGATTTGTATCTCTCAGGCTTTGGAATTCTTTAGTAATGGGTCTTAAACTTGGCTGACTACAATTTACATTTTAACTATTCATGGAACATACAAGGGACATTAAATGAATGAGGTAAGCAAGCTGAAAAATTAGTTTCAAAATAAAATATTTAAATCAGTTTTAAACAAAACAATGATTTTTTACTACTTATAAAGTGTCTTCAATAAAACCTTATTCATACCTTTCTAAATTGTAATTTCAAAAAATATGTTCTTGGAAATTATTATTTACGTTGTCATACAAATGTAAGAATAAACTGAATATCTTTACTCTTTCCTTTGTTTTTAAAACATATGCTTTATTTTCTTTTCCTCTAATTCAGATCATATTGTATTCCTAATTAGTTGATAAATTGTATTACATTTAGAAAGTAACTCATCACCATTGACTGATTTGAAAATTTGGTATCCTTATCATTAGAAGTCAAACACCTGTTTCCTTGAAAGAATTCTCCTTCCTCCTGGGAGGTGAATCACTTTGTATATGGCTGCCTCTAATTTCACATCTCTCCCTGAGGAAAAGCATCAGTTTATGACGAATGACTGCATTCCTTCTCTCAGCTGGAAGAATATGATTCGTGTCAGAAGAGGCAAATTTTTTTTTACCAGACATTATTTTTTTTAAGTTATGAATTGTTTATTTCTGGAATTTTCCATTTACTCTTTTTGGACGATGGTTGACCAAGGGTAACAGAAACAGTGGAAAGTGAACCTGTGGATAAGGGGAATGCTGTATAGTTATTTAGCATGTACTATATGCTAAGCAAAACAGTGGGAAGGATACTATGTATGAGACAATTTCTTCCCTGAGGAGCTGACAAGCTTGCTGAACTATTTCTTCCCTATTTCACATGTATGAAATAGTTAAAATAGCAACAAAAGGTACAGACTAAATGCTGTGGGAATTAAGACATATGGGCCATTATGGGTTGGAGCAATCAGGGAAGGCTTCCTGAAAGAGTTCATAAACTCTTTCATTAAGTGTTCATAAACGTTTACTGAGCACTAACTGAATCTTAGCTCTGAGGACAGATACACAATTCAAGGTCCTTGCCCTCATGAAGCTGATATTCTAATGGGAAGAGATGGAAACAGTATGTCAGGTAGTGATGAGTGCCATATTTAAAAGCAAAGGGTGAGGAGACAGAGATGTGGAGGAGGGCAACAAGACTATAGCAGAGACCAAAGCAAAGAGACTAAGGGGTGTGGTCAGGGAGGGGTGGATTTTGATAGCTGCGAGAGGTTATCAGTTACTCTTTGGGCCTAAGTAGGAACCTCAGAAAACTGACACATCCTGTCCTTATCTGCATATTCAAACCACTGAGAAATTCTTGAGAGTACAGTATAAGAAAAAAGAATGGCAACTTTCTACATCAGGCTATTCCCTGAACGTGGGAAGAGAAACGGGACCCTACTCTTTTAAAACCTATACCTCCACTGGTACCTTGATGAACCTGTTGGGATCCCACCCTCCTACTTCCCCAAAAGTCACTTCCAGAAGCCTGAGGCCCAGAAGCCCAAGGCCCACAATTCTGAAGATTCAGCTTCTGCCCTTAGTAGAACCTGCCTTTTACCAGACATTATTTTATTCTTTTTAAAATAATATAAGCTCTTAAGGTAGTGTGGAAGTGGTGTTCTATTTTCTGTCTTCAGAAAGTACCTGTACCCAAGCACAGGAGAGAATTAGTTTTCAAATATCTTAATGATTTTGTGGTTTTTACTTCAGCAGGATCTTCTAAGATTGAAGAAGATGCAGAGTTTGCATGTGCGCTTATTTCATCTACTTCTTCAACAAAAAAGAAAATGTTGAAAAAAGGTCAGTAAATCTGCTGGGGTTTTTTTATCCCCCCCCCCCAATTTTTTAGTTTTGCATATTCTCATATTTCTCTGGTTCCAATTTTGTATCTTGGGCAAAATCATAAAATCACATTTGCCTATCATTTGGAGCACTTATCTCAATGTTCCACTTATTGTGTGATCTCTTACTATGACGCAGTTATCCCTGTTGGATGTGCATATGCTGACAGCAGATCTGAGTCTGGTTTGGCTATTTCTCTAGCACTATCACAGCACTAGAGGACCAACAAATGAAGTTCTGTCTTATTCCAAAAAGGCTTCTGGGAATAATACATGGATTAAAACCTTACATAGTATTTCATTAACTGGCAGCATCTGTCATAGTTCTCTCCCTAACTCCATTTTTTCCTGTCCTCAGGTTAAGAGCCTCACTTTTTTAAAATTTTCAGTGAAAAAAAATTTAATGACAATGAAGTTATCAAACCATATTATAAGAAATTTAGAAAGTAGAGAAAAGAAAAAATACACAATCCCATTTTTTAAAAATTGTGTTTCAATGTGTTTTCTGTCTGTTACCTTTTTCTATTCTAATTATTTTAGTTAGGCCAAAAATCAATGGGAGGTATTCCCTTATCTGAATAGCAGGGATATTTCTTGTAGTGAAGGCACAGAGCCGTTTATGGCTGCTTTAAAACGTAATTTAATTTGGATTAACTTGAATTATAATAAAGATTTCTTGGTATAAGTAGAATTTGCTTTTCACTTCAGAATATTAGTAATTTTTATTGTAATTTTGTATTTTATAATTGATAGGAAAACAACACTGCTTAGGAGTCTAAATATTTGAGATGGAAAGAGGTCGAACGAGGGTTAAAGAGATTTGGGACAAGTTATGTGTCTGTACCTTACTTTCTTCTATTTTACATGTTGAATATACAACAGATAAAATTATACTTTTGTGGAACTTATGCCTAATGATGGAGAAAACATAAAATTAATGAATACATAGTTATAGATAGTAAGTGCTATGAAAAATATAAAAGAGGATGGTGAAATAAAGATTGACTGAAGGAGCCTGTTTAAGAAGGTGATGTTTGAATTTCACTTTTTTTGCATGTAGCTGTCCAGCTCTCCCAACACCATTTGTTGAAGAGGCTATTTTTGCTCTGTTTTATGCTGCTGCCCCCTTTGTCAAATATTAATTGACCATAGAGATTTGGGTTTATTTCTGGGCTTTTTATTCTGTCCCATTGGTCTATATCTCTTATGCCAGTACCAGGCTGTTTTGATTACAGTGGCCTTGTAATACAGTTTGATATTAGGTATTGTGATCCCTCCTGCTTTTCATTTCTTTCTCAAAATTGCTGCAGCTATTTAGGGTCATTTATGGTTCCATATAAATTTTTGAAGTGTTTGTTCTATATCTGTGAAATACTGTGCCATTGGTACTTTAATATGTATTGCGTTGAATCTATAAATTGCTTTAATGGATCAAAAAACTATGGTACGTTTACACAATGGAATTTTATGCAGCAGAAAGAAAGAAGGATCTCCTACCTTTTGTGGCAGCATGGATGGAACTGGAGAGCATTATGCTAAGTGAAATAAGCCAGGCGGTGAAAGACAAATACCATATGATCTCACCATTAACAGGAACCTAATCAACAAAACGAACAAGCAAGCAAAGTATAGCCAAAGACACTGAAATTGAGAACAGGCTGACCAGAGGGAAGAGGAGAAGGGATAACGAGGAAAAAGGGTGGTTTACAGGAACAATTCTAAAGGACACATGGACAATAACAAGGGGGGGCTGGAAACAGGGGAGGGAGGTGGAGAGGACTGGGGTGCTGGGGAGGCATGGGGGAAAAGGCAGAAAACTACTTGAACAACAATAAAAAAAAGGTAATGTTTGAATTAATAGAATGATGAAAAAGAGCTAACTTTTGATCTAAGAATCAAATAATTAGGAATAGAAAATGTTGGCATTTCAGATAGATTATTTTTGATGCCAATTTTAGAAATTTTAAGAAATATTGAACTTTCAGTTGAGGTAAGATTAAGATCGAATTAAAGTTCACACAAAAAGTTCCTTTCTGTTGAAGACACATAGCTGTAATACAGGATATAAACTTAAAAAATCATAGCTGTGATAAAACCAAAATAAACATTTTTTTTTGGAAGAGAAACAGCATAGAAACAAAAATCAATGAGTGGAGGAGACAGAGCCATATATTGTGGTAAGACACACAAAAGGCATAGGAAAAAAATGAATTCAACAACATTTAAAATTCTGATGCATCAAAAGCCACTATAAACATTGAAAAATTTTAAGGCTGAAGGAGTTATTTGTGATAAATATAACTTAGAAAGGATTAATATGTAGAATATGTAAAGAACCCTCTACAAGTCGATTATAAAAAGACAATACAATAGGGGAATAGCCATTAAGAATATAAATGTGCAGCCCTGGCTGGCATAGCTCAGTGGATTGAGTGTGGGCTGTGAACCAAAGTGTCGCAGGTTCGATTCCCAGTCAGGGTGCATGCTTGGGTTGCTGGCCATGACCTCCAGCAACCGCACATTGTTGTTTCTCTCTTTTTCTCTCTCTCCCTCCCTTCCCCCTCTAAAAATAAATAAATAAAATCTTTAAAAAAGAATATAAATGTGCAATTCTTGAAAAGAAAACCAAAATAACCGATAAACATAGGAAAATATATACAGACGCAGTCATTGAGGAAATGCAAATTAGAGGAACAGTAAGATACAGTCTCACCCATCATATTTACAAACATTTTAAAATCTCAGTGCAGCAACAGGAACTGTTGTGCACTGTAGATGGGAGTGGAAATTACCATGGAGAGCAACTAGACCAAATATAATGCAGCTGACGATAGACCAGTTAGAACTGTATAGATTTGTACAAGGAGACATAAAAAAATAGTTTTCATTGATGCATTATTTTAGTGAAATGTTGGGAATAATGTAAATACTGTCCCATAGGGGAAGGGAAAATAAAATTGGAGGGTGTCTTTCCAAAAGCTGCCTGAGTGCCCTCACAATGTGGTGGCTGGCTTACCCTAGAGGGAGTGATCAGAATGACAGTGAAAGACAGAGCATCTAAGGGAGGGAAGCTGCATTTTTATAACTTAATCTCAGAAGTGACATATCCTATTGGTCACACAGATCAACCCTAGTAGAGAGTGTGGGATGGGACTCTATAAGGTTGTGGCTGTCAGGCAGTTGATTACCATTGGGGCCAGTCTTGGCATCTGGCCACCACATTAACAATACAAATGTTTCTATTAGTGAATAACTTAATATCAGTAGACATTCCAAACTTCCTCCTGTGCTTCCTTCCAATCATAATCCTCTGTCTCCCCTTATAAATAGTCACTATGTAGATATTTAGTTGTTTAAAGTAGCAAGGTTAAAATGTAGTTGCTGTTACTTCTCATAGCTAGAAACAGAAGTCCACCTGCTTCATTTTAGTTCTTCCTAATTTCTTTCTTCATAGAGGCACTTCAATGTCATTTCTTCATTGACTTCACACATATTTGTGAAAAAAACACCATCTGTGTCACCGATTTTTTTCTTTCAGGAGTATTTGCAGTGGAGGGTTCCAAAAAAACTGATGTAGAGAGACCAAGAACAACACTGATCATCTGTCCACTTTCTGTGTTAAGCAACTGGATTGTAAGTTCGCAGCCTTTTAAAAATGTGAAATTTATATGTGTCTTATATGATAAAAAGTTTCTGTTAAAGTGTCATACATTGAGAGAAATATGTTTGGTTATCACTTTATATCTAAGTTCAAATAATTGTTAGGTGAATTGGAGATACTGTCAAAGCAAAGCAATTAAAGAAAAAAATTTTAATCCTCACAGAGGATGTTATTTTCATTACTTTGAGAGAGAGAGAGAGAGAATGAGAAAGAAACATCAGTCAGTAATCTATTGTATGCCCCGCAACTGGGGACTGAACCCACAACCTGGATATGTGCCCTGACTGGGACTTGAAATGTGACCTTTCGATCTATGGAGGCACTCCAACCAACTGAGCTCTCTGACCAGGGCTCAAAGCAATTTTTCTTTGAAGGTTTATAGTAGCAATTGAAGGTTTATAGTAGGAAAAAAAATCATCAGTTGCTATAATAAGATTTGTTCTTCTGCCTGTCATTTCTGTTCCCCAAAGTTGGACATGTGTATAATTTAACATCATATTTATTGTTGGAACTTCTAAGAATTCCACTAACAACTTTTATAACAGCTTGTAACAGTCAGTGAGTTCCTATGTGCTCAATTTTTTCCTAAATTCTTTTTATAGATTTTTTCATTTAATCCTCACAACTACTCTCATTTTCCAGGTGCCCATATTGAATCACAGAGAAATTAAGTAATTTGCCTAAGGTCATCCAGCTAATAAATGATGGAACAAGGACATGGTCTCCAACATTCTGACTTTAGAGCCTGTGCTTTTAAGGCTACCCGCCAGAAAATGTGTTGTTTGTTTGTTTGTTTTCCTCCCAGATTGCATTGGAATGGAACTTCTTTATGTGTTTATATGTAAGGAACAGATTGGTTATGTTTCCTTTCCAGTTTCAGCTTCATGCTGCATGTTACAATGAAATAGTGACTCTCTTAGAAGCACTGTGAACATAAAGACCACTGAATGTGAATTTCCATTGTTGTCACCTCCAAGATTATCTGCCTTTCTGCTAATCTTTCCTCCTCTAGGCTGAGTGGGGGAAGAGGTCCTGCTCTTTGTGGGACCATACCTTAGTCTACACATTAGATTCCATCTTTTCCAGCCTTTGCATTTTATTTGTTATTTTTCCACTTGCCTTGTTATTCACCCTGTCCCCACTGGCTCTTTTTTGAAACATTCTCAGATCTTTTTCATTTCTAAATACTTTCTTGGGATTATCTCACATTTAAATTGCTACTCTGCTACTTTCTTTCACTATCATACCTCTTGGGATTTAATCTCCATTTAGTGCTTTTGCTTACTAACTTCTTCACTCATTGTAATCTGGTTTCTTCCACTAACTCTGTAAAGTGGATTGGGAAAGAGTAGTAGTTATTGTTTAATTGTCAACTTTTGTGGTGTTAACTTCTTGACTTTTATGTAGCTTGCTTTCTGATTTATCTTTTTATTGTTGTACTTACTATTATTATTTTTTTAATTAGACCTTCTCCTGATTAGGGCACTGTTTTTCTTCTTGGGACTGGAATGACTTTCAGTCTTCTCCTGCTCTCTTTTAATTCCAACAAAATGATACTCTTTCTTTTGATGTGTGGTCCATCGTGGGAAAGGGAGTCTGTGGGTATTTGAATGGAAGTTTCAGGGTGAAGTTTAAAGTATTAATGGAGGTATAAACAACAGAACTGATCCTTTTAAGGGTGTGGGGTGCAGTTACATATTTTAGAAATGAGTACTCAGTGTTTTATTATAATTTTATATTTGGAAAACATCAAAAGATTCAGAAATGTAAACTTGAGAAAGGAAAGCTTGGCAAAATCTAGCCTACTGAGTTTATGGAAAAACTGATTTTTGAAGGAATGAGGGATGGTTGGACATCTAGGGATTTCTGGACAAGAGATAGAATTTTATATCTCAACAATCATTTCTTTTCCTGGTCCCCAAGTAAATGACCTGGCACCCTAGTGAGCAGGCCAGAACTAACCTATTTCCACTTATTTGTCTTTAAACATGGGCAAGAATTCAGTTAAAGAAGTAAGATACCAATCTCCCTTCCATCACTTTCTCGATATTAAGATCAGTAATTTATACTCCCAGTGTAAACTGAAATAATAATACCTACTTCATTCACACATATGTACACATGGGCATATAACTTAGCACAGTTAACTAGAAACTCAATATTTTAGTTCTTTTTCTCCAGGCAATTTTTTTCTATTTCAAGTTTAAACCTTTCACAAAGGTTTAAATGTTCTGTTACATTTCAAGGCAATTCCACGGATTCAGTTTTCTCACACTGCATTCATTCCCCTTTCCTTTTCCACCAGATTTCTTGCTAATATTTTCTGCCTTTTCACCTTTACTCTTTCATGTTTAATCCTCTCTTCTTTTTGCCTTTACTGTTTCAGGTTTCATTCTCTTTTCAAGCCCACAGTAGTAGGGTTTTTGTTCTCACCCTCTAAGAAACTTTCTGAAGGCCTTCAGTGACCTCGCTGTTGCCAAATCTTGTGAGTTCTATTTTTCCTCCCCTCTGCCCTGAGTTTGTTTCTATGTTACTGCTTTTGGTTGTATCTTATTTTGTAAGACATCCTTAAACCTTTTTTAAAAGATTTTATTTATTTATTTTTAGAGAGAGGACAAGGGAGGAAGAAAGGAAGAGAAATAATGAATGTGTGGTTGCCTCTGGTGCACCCCCAGCTGGGGACTTGGAAGGCAACCCATGCATTTGGCCATTCTTAACCCTTTTTGTAAAGACAGGGGTTGAACATAAATTAATAACTCTAAAATTGGCCTTGAATTTCTTCTTGAAACTTTGATATTCTTTGACCTGTCCCCAAATTTTGTTTTCTGTTTTCATCATGCTGACCACTGTTTTTCTTCACCTCTATTTTTCTCCCATGGTTCCTATTTAGTTTGCCTTTTCTACCCTCTTAAAGTGTGGTATTATTTTATGTATTATAAAAAAAATTTTATTGATTCTAGAGAGAGAGGGAGGGAGGGAGAAAGAGGGAGAGAATCATTGATGTGAGAGAGAAACATGGATAGGTTGATTCTCACGTGTGTCCCATCTGGGAGCTAAACCCGCAACCTGGGGGCATGTACCCTGACTGGAATCAATCATTGAACTGGCAACCTTTCAGATTAAGGGAGGACGCCCAGCCAACTGAGCCACACCCCTCAGGGCCATTGTGAAAATTTTTAATGAGATCTTTATTTACTCATCAAGATTCAAGAATTTCAAAATTTGCTTTATTTTTTATATGTTTTGCTAGGATATTTTGAATCATATCCCAGTCATCATATTTCCCAGTAAAAGTATAACTTGCTCTTTAAACATTGGTGTTCTCTAGGCTCTATTTTCTCATTGTACATGTTTTTCTTAGAAAATCTTACTTCTGTAGCTTCATGTACTGTGTGCTGAAAACTTTAAAGTCCATATCTACACTTGTAATGTAGGCCAAGATTTAAATTTTCCTAGTATACTTCTCTAGTCAGATACTCTGTGGTGACTCAAAATTTTGAATGTCTAAAATAATATATCATTCTCATCTTTATACCTTCTTTCTCCATTTTAAACTTCCCTATAGCTTGTGCACACAGTTCTTTTAGACAGTCATTTTAAGTAATAGCTTTTTTGTCTTCTCTTTTATGAAGATACTCCATATTTAATTAGTCTTCAAGTCCCATAAGTTCCTTCTGAGTGTCTTTCTCTGACACTTGCTCTTTCCATTCTGTTCTCATGCCATTTTGGTGCAGGGGTGTCCAACTCGTGACCTGAAGGCTGCATGCAGTCCAGAATGGCTATGAATGTGACCCAACACAAAATCGTAAATTTACTTAAAACCTTTTTTTTGCTCATCAGTTTTTGTTAGTGTTTGTGTGTTTAACGTGTGACCCAAGACAACTCTTCTTTCAGTGCAGCCCAGAGATGCCAAAAGTTCGGATACCCCTGCAACCTTCATTGTCTCTTACCTAAATGGTTTCCCAGCTATTTCTTCTTGGTGTCTTCTGTCTTTATTCTAATCACAGTTGTTTTGTTTCTTGCTCAGACTCACCCACATGTATTCTTTTCATGTTAAGAAAAAAAAAGCAAAACTCAAGTTTTATAAGTTGGTCATGCCCTCAAGGAGGGCAGGGACCAGTTCTTATCTTTCTTTTTAGCTATGCTACCCTTTTGCTTAATACCTGCACATAGTAGGCCTATATAAATGAAAGTGGTTACTGTGCTTTGATCTTTGCCTTGTATCTTGAAAATATTGGTTGCTGTTTTTTTGCTGTTTAATTTTGATATTTTTAAGTCTAATGAGTAACTGGAAGCTTTAAAAATACTAAATTTTTAAAAAACTAATTACTGTTTTAAAGAAGCATTGTTGTTTTTTCCTATTAAAAATGAAGTGGCTGCACATTGGTGGGCCTGGGTAAAATTTATATAATGTTTACTATTATAGTAGACATGCCAGTTTTCCTGACAATAAAATAATACTTAGTATCATTATGATTGTTGCGATTATAGTTTATGTTGCAGGAAACCTGCTTTTATGTAATCTTAGTGGTGTGATTTGTGACAGGACAACCAGGGCAGTACTTGTTATATACATATTAAACCTGACACTAATCTGCTTATTATTCAAAATATTTCCCATTTTCTTTTAGGATCAGTTTGGACAACATATAAAATCAGATGTGCACTTGAATTTTTATGTTTATTATGGTCCCGATCGTATTAGAGACCCAGCTTTGCTTTCCAAACAGGATATTGTTTTGACTACATACAATATTTTAACTCATGACTATGGAGTAAGTATGCTGATACTCAGAGATTTTTAGTTTAATTTAAAAAACTATGCTTCAGTTTTCTAAAGTGTTCTAAAATTTAGGCTTTATACTCTTCCTTTTTTCTTTCTAAATAGTTAAGAATATGTAGGAAATTGTGTTTTAATATTTTGCAAAAAAAGGTTGGACTTTCTTTAGATAGTGTACGAACACTTTCCATTTAGAACACTGGAATTTAAAATTCTAAATTAGAATTGTAACTAGGTATATATAAAAATTTGTAAATGAATTCTGTGTTTTCAGTATTGTAGAATATTGTTTGCTATCACAGTGATTTGATTCTCAGTTTAAAAATAAGCTTTTTTGTAGCTGAAATTCATGAGTTTCCCAATTTATTTTAGAAGTCAATTGTTGTTTGTCTATAATTCCAGTTGTTAAGTTAAAATATTTTTTCAAAATACTTTATTGCCAAAATTTCAGTTTTCTGGTAAGAACATTTACTCTACATAAAAGAAAGTAGTTGTGTTATATTCAAATAATCTTTATAACTGGTAATTTTTATATCATCACTATGTTTTAATCTGAGTAGCTCAGCATATTGAAGCAAGGTCACAGCAGAGAGCTAGACTACCTGAGTTTAAATGCTAGCTCTGCCACTTCCTAGCTGTTAATTTGAGCAACATACTTCATACCTTGGTTCTTCAATTTTCTCATCAGTAAAAAAAGGAGTAATAATACTTCATAAGTTTGCGAACATTCAATAATTAAATGTGTGTAGTGCTTAAAGCAGTACCAACCATGTATTAAGTTGATATTGAGAATAATAACTCATATTACTTATCAAATTATATAAAATACTATTTTACTTTTCTTTGTTTTTAATTCATATGAAACATTTATTTCAGATGAAAGGTGATAGTCCATTACATAGCATAAGGTGGCTAAGAGTGATCCTGGATGAAGGACATGCTATACGGAATCCAAATGCTCAGCAGACTAAAGCTGTACTTTATTTAGAAGCAGAAAGAAGATGGGTATTGACAGGTAATGATAACATTATACTTAAAAAAAATTAATTCCCGAGTATGTATCATTAAGTAAGTTAGGTAACTTTATAAACTTCAAGTGGATGTAAAGACTGTTCCAAAATTAATAATGGAAGTCATTTAATAAAAGATTTTGACTTGTTCTTTCTAATTGCCCATGATATAGCAATATTTAAATTGTAGTTAATTTGTGGGACAATTGCTTGCCTTTTTCTTGAACTCTGGAGATTCATTACACTCTAATCCTTCAGTCAGAATCTTGATTTCTCTACTTCCCATCTTGGAGTCCATTTGCTTTACCCGAAGATGAGGAAGAGAATATAAATTAGTTTAGTCCTTCTTGCTGGTGCTGTTGATTTAGAAATCAAATAAACAAATGTTCTTGATAAGAAGAAAGTTGAGTTTACTGGTCTACAGTCTTTTTCTTTGTTAGTATGGCAAGTGAGGGCTAAAAATTAGAGTAAAACTATATTTTGAGGTTGTGTGTATGTCTAACAAGGAATTATAGTCACAGCTTGCCAGTGGGTGTGCCTGGTACAGTGTGCCCATTTTCAGCTGTTTCCTTGATTCAGCTAGATGGCTTTACTGATTGGATAATCTTGTTATAGAATTGTAACAATTTCCTGTTATTTTTAGGTACTCCAATTCAGAATTCTTTAAAGGACTTGTGGTCTCTTCTTTCCTTTTTAAAACTGAAACCATTTCTTGATAGAGAGTGGTGGCATAGAACAATCCAGCGCCCTGTCACAATGGGAGATGAAGGAGGACTTAGGTAAGCAATTTCATGGTAACTGATTAATATTAGCTACAAATAACTGTTAGCAGTTTCTACTTTTATTACTACTTCAACTTGGCTATTGACTTTCCTCTTCAAAATGTGTTAACAGTTTCATGCCTTTGGCTCTCAGAACCTAGTGATTCTTGTTTGGGAGGACTACTTCTAAAATACAAACCCTCCCTTCCCATGATTTTAGTCAAACAGAAAGAAAAGGCAGAGCTTTATGATCTTTGTATGTTGCTATTTTCCCCAAGACCACCATTAATAGATGAAGTAGTGACAGGAAAAACCTTATATGCTTTATATAGCTTTATATAATGATAGTTGAATGATGGAATGACATGTAGTGGCATCAACAAGAGTTTTACAAGAGAACATTGTTTCTGGTGGAGACAGATAAAAGTTGAGAACATAAAATTCAGCTTGGTTATAGCCATTTTGCAAGGTACTAGACTAATGTATTTGAAATTTTTTGCCTAGAATAATTGGTTTTGAAACAGAGGGTTTCGGTTTCATTAGAAAGTTGTGAAATTATCTAAAAAGATAGCAGCTAGCATTATAAAAGAAAATGAAATAGAGTAGAAAATTTAAGGAAAAAGCAGATTGCATCACACATAGAATTTGTGAAATGTTTGTTTCTGTTGTATGTGTATATATTAAATTTGTATATATGTTTGCTGCGTGGAGTAAAGTGTGTTTCTTACTGTGCATTTTAGTGAAAAGGGTTCAAAACTCACTAACCTAATTTGTCATACTGTCTACTTGATTCCTTAGAAAAGCTATTTAAATTCTAATTTAAGAAAATGTATTTCTATTTCAATGTTAGGTAAAACCTTTTCTTAAAAAATTGATATGCCTGCATTTATTCTGATATTGAGAAAGAGGAGTGTAGAATTGTAGAACCTAGAAGGTATTTATCCCTCTTCTAGATTATCACATTGTGTTTTTAATTTTTTTCATTACCTTACAAAACTTACTTATGTACCTTGATTTTGATATTACTAAAAAGACTTTTGAAGGTAAGATCTTACTCATTTATATTTTTATGATAGTATAACTTTCACTTAATGGGTGCTTATTGAGTATTGAGTATGGTAATACAGCTAAAGAATCGAGAAATAAAAAGATTAGTGATTAGAACAAAATGGGGAGAAGAATTTAAAGATTAAACTGTGACAGCTGTTGAAATGAGAGAAAATTTCAATGCATTTTTTGCTATAATTTTCAATTTGTATAATATGTCTATGATTATCAGATTGGATAAAAACCCGAATAAGAAGTATTTTTTTAAATCCTTTTTAAAGTTTATAAAACACTAGTAGCTTTAAATGTTCATTTTTGTTCTTTTTGAATCAACTTATATGAATGAAAAGTTATGTGATTTTTTTTGTTGTTTTATTTTCTAGGCGTTTACAATCCCTAGTTAAAAATATTACACTTAGAAGAACAAAGACAAGCAAAATTAAAGGAAAGCCTGTTTTGGAGTTACCAGAACGTAAAGTATTTATTCAGCACATTACACTTTCAGATGAAGAGAGAAAGATTTATCAGACTGTGAAAAATGAAGGCAGAGATACTATTGGAAGGTATGAAGAAAGAAAGCCATTTTAGAAAGTAATTTTTTATTGTTTCCTGTTTAACTCAATGACATTTTAACATATGTTAACAGTAAATTCCAAAGTATACTGAAAGATTATTTACTTCTTTAACTACATTTAAACTACTTTTTATGAATTAATAGTTGAAGTGAATGAATATTATAATTTCACCAGGTAAGTAATTTTTTAAGTTAGGAAAAAAATTAAAGTTTACATGAAAAGTCAAGTTCTGAATTGCTTGCTTGCTTCTATTCTTGACTCACTATCATGGGAGTAGATAAAGACATTTATATGTGTATGTAATATAATATAATATGTGTATGTAAAATATATATGTGTGTGTGTGTGTGTGTGTGTGTGTGTGTGTGTATACATATATAACCTATTAAGGACCAAACTTGGGGGACTGTCCACATTCAAGAAATAAGAAAATAAAGAAAAGGCACTTATAGGAGATTCTATCAAGGAGGGAAGTATGAAGAGAAAGGAAACTGTTACAGAATTTCAGGAAAGACAGCACAATCAAGAAAGAGGCAGTAGTCAGGAGTGCTATAGAGTACAGACATTTAGAAAAGGCTGTTTAATTTCATGATTCAGAAGTTATTGGTGTAAACTCTTAGAATAGTTTCACCAGAATAATCAGTATAATCAGTTAAGTAGCCAAATTGTAGGACTAAAGGGATTGCAAAGAAGCAGCAGCTGTGTAGTAGACAGTTTTACACAGTTTGTAAGAAGAAGAAAAGGAGACTGGTAGTAGGATTGATAGTTGGTCTCTGGATCAATTACTTGATGGTTTTATTTGGGTAACTGTCTTGAGAGCATCAGTTATTGATAGTTGTGAGTTTGTTGAATTTTACTGTTCATAGTTTTGGTCTTATTTTTAGGTAAGTCCCTTCATTATTATTATTTTTTAAATATATTTTATTGATTATGCTATTACAGTTGTCCCATTACCCCTCCTTCATTCCCCTCCACCCTGCACACCCTCTCCCACCCACATTCTCCCCCTTTAGTTCATGTCCATGTGTTATAGTTCTTTAGCTTCTACATTTCCCATACTATTCTTACCCTCCCCCTATCTATTTTCTACCTACTATCTATGCTACTTATTCTCTGTACCTTTTCCTCCTCTCTCCTTCTCCCATTCCCCTGTTGCTAACCCTCCATGTGTTCTCCATTTCTGTGGTTCTGTTCCTGTTTTAGTTGTTTGCTTAGTTTCTTTTTGTTTTTGTTTTAGGTGTGGTTGTTAATAATTGTGAGTTTGCTGTCCTTTTACTATACATGTTTTTTCTTTATCTTCTTTTCTTAGATAAATCCCTTTAACATTTCATATAATAAGGGCTTGGTGGTGATGAACTCCTTTAACTTGACCTTGTCTGAGAAGCACTTTATCTGCCTTCCATTCTAAATGAAAGTTTTGCTAGATAGAGCAATCTTGGATGTACGTCCTTGCCTTTCATGACTTGGAATACTTCTTTCCAGCCCCTTCTTGCCTGCAAGGTTTCTTTTGAGAAATCAGCTGACAGTCTGATGGGAACTCCTTTGTAGGCAACTGTCCCCTTATCTCTTGCTGCTTCTAAGATTCTCTCCTTCATTTTTACCTTGGCTAATGTAATTATGATGTGCCTTGGTGTGTTCCTTTTTGGGTCCAACTTCTTTGGGACTCTCTGAGCTTCCTGGACTTCCTGGAAGTCTATTTTCTTTGCCAGAATGGGGAAGTTCTCCATTATTATTTGTTCAAATAAGTTTTCCACTTGTTGCTCTTCCTCTTCTCCTTCTGGTACCCCTATAATTCGGATGTTGGAACGTTTAAAGATGCCCTGGAGGTTCCTAAGCCTCTCCTCATTTTTTTTTTGAATTCTTATTTCTTCATTCTTTTCTGTTTGGTTGTTTCTTTCTTCCTTCCTTCTGATCCACTCCATTGATTTGAGTCCCAGTTTCCTTCCCATCACTATTGGTTCCCTGTGCATTTTCCTTCATTGCTCTTATTGTAGCCTGGATTTGTTCATCTAATTTGCAACCAAAATCAACCAATTCTGTGAGCATCTTGATCACCAGTGCTTTGAAGTGTGCATCTGATAGGTTGGCTATCTCCCGGTCACTTAAAAGTAGTGTTTGTGCAGCTTTCATTCTGTTTGAGCCATCTTTCCCTCCAGCCCTTTGGTGTGGTTGTGCCTGTTCTGCATGAGGGACGGAGCCTTAGGTATTCACCAGGGCAGGGCACCCCAGTTGCTGGGTTGTGACGTTGTATGTGGGGGCAGGGTCAATTGTGTTTGTTCCACTCTCTGTTGGACCTCAGTCCCTTCTGCCACTTCCCCCAAGCAAACTGGGTCCCTCTGGTGCTGATTCTCCTGTGGGTGGGCTTGTGCACACTGTGGGACTTTCCAAGGACCTCTCCTGCGAGGCTGGGAGTCTCTCCCTGCGCCTCAACCCCCACAGGTGTTTTCAGTCAATGTCCCGAGGCTCTATTTCCCAGCACTGGGATCCTGGGTTGCTCACAGTGCCTTGCTTCATAATTCCCGCCTTGCTGGGTCTGTTGTTTGCCACCCCTCAGCCGGGGTCTGCCAGCTGCTGCTTGCACTCTCAGGGTCCACCCGCTGGGGTCTTGCATGCCCAGATGCCTTATGCGCCCCGTCCCAACGCTCTCTGCTCTCCACACTGTGACCCACGCCCGGCTGCCTGACTCCGCCCCTCCTACCAGTCTGGATGAATGGGTCTATTTTAACTTCTTGGTTGTCCGACTTCCATACAGTTCAGTTTTCTGTCAGTTCTGGTTGTTATTCTGTTTCTAAATTGTTGTACCTATCTTTGTTGTGTGAGGAGGCACAGTGTGTCTACCTATGCCTCCATCTTGGCTGGAAATCCCTGGTTTCTCCTTTTATTATTATTTTTATTGTTCAAGTACAACTGTCTACCTTTTCCCCCTACCCCTCCCCACCACCTCAGTGCTCTCTGTATCCCTCCCCCATTTCCACCCCCCACCTTGTCATTGCCCATATGTCCTTTATAATTGTTCCTGTAATCCCTTCCCCTTTTCCCCCCAATATCCCCTCCCCTCTCCCTTTAACATTTCATATAATAAGGGCTTGGTGATGGTGAATTCCTTTAACTTGACCTTATCTTAGAAGCACTTGATCTGCCCTTCCATTCTAAATGATAACTTTACTGGATAGAGTAATCTTGGATGTAGGTCCTTGTTTTTCATGACTTTGAATACTTCTTTCTAGTCCCTTCTTGCCTTCAAGGTTTCATTTGAGAAATCAACTGATAGTCTTATGGGAGCTCCTTTGTATGTAACTCTCTTCTCTTGCTGCTTTTAACATTATCTCTTTATCTTTAACCTTTGGCATTTTAATTATGATGTGTCTTGCTGTGGGCCTCCTGGGTCCAACTTGTTTGGGATTCTCTGAGCTCCCTGGACTTGTATGTCTATTTCCACCAAATTGGTGGAAGATTTGTTTCATTATTTTTTCAAATTAGTTTTTGATTTCTTCGTCTTCCTCTTCTCTTTCTGGCACCCTTATGATTCTGATGTTGGAATGTTTAAAGTTGTCTCAGAGGTTCCTAAGCTCTCCTCATTTTTTTGAATTCTTGTTTCATCTTTCTGTTCCAGTTAAGTGTTTATCTCTTCCTTATGTTCCAAATCATTAACTTGAGTCCCAGTTTTCTTCCCTGCACTGTTGATTCCCTATATTTATTTCTTTATTTCACTTTATATAGCCTTCATTTTTTTTCTCTATTTTGCGGCCATAATCATTTCTGTGAGCATCCTGATTACCATTGTTTTGAACTCTGAATCTGATAGGTTGGCTATTTCCTCTTTGCTTAGTTGTTTTTTTGGAGTTTTGATCTGTTCTTTCATTTGGCCATATTTCTTGTGTCTCCTCAGTTTGTCAGCTCACCAGTCTGGATGAATGTTTATTTTTTAACTCCTTGGTTGTTGGACCATACAGTTCAATTTTCTCGCAGTTCTGGTTGTGTTTTATTTTATAGATTGGTTGTTATCCTTCTTTTTGGTTGTGCAAGGAAGTGAAATGTTTCTGCGTATGCCTCCATTCTTGTCCAGAATAACAACAGTCCAATGAGGTGTGTATTATTACTGTTATACTACTGTTACAGCTGAGGAAGTGTAATACAGAGGTTAAGAAACCTGCCCAAGTTTTCATAGTTAAATTGGCAGAGTCAGAGTTTTTTTTACCTCACCCCTGCTCGTAGTTATTTTTTTCCTTTTTTTTTTTTTTGTTTAAAGATTTTATTTATTTTCAGAGAGAGGGGAAGGGAGGGAGAAAGAGCGGGAGAGAAACATCAGTGTATGAGTGCTTGCTTCTCATACGCACCCCAACCGGGAAACCTGACCCGCAACCCAGGTACATGCCCTGACTGGGAATCAAACTGATGACCCTTTGGTTCACAGGCCAGCACTCAATCCACTGAGCCACACCACCCAGGGCCAGAGTTAGATTTTGAATTTAAGACAGTCTAGCTCTATAGAGTCTATGCTCTACTTATTAGGCTAAATTTCTTTTATTGCCTCACTACTTAAATATTAAGTTGGGCTTAGTATATAAATTTTAGATTACTCATTCTTCCTTCACAGCCTGTATTGTCATTGGTATACTGTATTTTCTGTTGAATGTTTCTATGGAAAACTCTGATTTTATTTTATTTTTCTTTAAAAGTCAGCAATTTGACCAGGACTCCTCTTGACTTTTTTTTTCCTGGAATATATACCATTTAAATTTGTGTATTCTAGGCTTCTGAAAGTTCTTTAAATATTATTTTCTGTTTCATTATTATATTTCTGTGTATTTTGGATTTTTTTGTAGCTGTCATGTTATAATTCTTTACATCTTTCTGTTTAATTTTTCTTTTCTCAATCCTGTTTTCCACATTGTTTTCTGTGTTTTTTAGCAGTGGCTAGATTCTTTTTAAGTGGTACATTGTATTTCTCTGATGGTTCACTTTTTTCTTTCCCATTCAATCTGTACTGGTTCTTCTCTGCATTGCTTTGCCTTACCTTTTCAAAGTACTTTGTCTCTGCCTTAAGATACTGTGTGTGTGTGTGTTTTTTTAATTATTTTAGGAATTGTTTTATTGAGTGGTGTTATATCATAGCAGTATTCTTGGTTATAATTTTTATTTGCTCTGTGTCAACATTTTTCTAGTGAGTTTTCTTTCACTGCTATTTGTTCCCTCTCTTACTCTTTGCTGATTGTGACTTATATATGAATGTCTTCAGTTTTTTCCTGACTAGCTATTTGCAGGAGATTCACATAAGAGGGATGGAGTCCTAGCTGTGCTCCAAACTAGAAGGAAATATCCCTATTTATGACTGAGGGTTACATGTCAGTTCTTTTAGGTTTTACCTGTGCTCACATAACAGATCAGAAGATTTAAGATTTTTTACAGTGTGGAATGCTGTGCTCACAGTCTTTTCTGAAAACACAGTAGGTCTGTGTGTTTCTTTATTCAGTTTACCTTCCCTCCTCCTTAGAATAAAACTTGTCCAGGGAAATTCAAGCCACTAGTCATGCACTCTGTTTTTGCATGAGAGAAGTTGATTTTCACCTCAGGGCATGTAGTCTGTTTTGAAGAATTGTGCCCTGGAAGGTCTGTTTGAGATCTGCAGTCCTGTCTTTCCACGTCTTCCTGTCTGACTTATACTGCAGTTGGCAGATATTTCTCATATGTTTTACTTTTCTGTTACAAATCTCTCCTGGTTTCATTAAAAATAGTTTGCTTTTCTGTTTTTTTATTCTTGTTTTAATGTGATTTCCAGAGAAGACGAGAACAATGCCATTTTCATTCCATTGTTTTAGAATAGGAAATATTGTAACATTTAACATTTCCACCTGTAGGTATTTTAATGAAGGGACCGTCCTCGCACACTATGCAGATGTCCTGGGTCTTCTCCTCAGATTGCGGCAGATCTGTTGTCATACTCACCTTCTTACAAATGCAGTATCTTCCAGTGTTCCCTCAGGTAGGTAAATAGGATTGGGTTACACCATTACATTTTTTAGAGATACTTAAATCAGAAGGAGAAATTTTTCATATTGGTTAAATTTAGTTAATTTGTAAAATAGCCATTGTTTTTAATGTAGAACTGAACTGGGAATATACCTCAAAATCTCATACCAGTGAAATGTACATGCAGCTTGTGTTATAATGACGTTTCTGTATAAGTTGTATTATGTGGGTTGGCTACTATTTTAGCTACTGAATATTTCTTAAAATTTCAAATTTAAATCATGCTTGTTGACTATAATAGAAAAAGACTAAAACTACCAAAACAAAACTTTTTTTCTGTATAAGGAAGATTAATTTGTCACATCACAAATTTTGTTCTGAAATTAATTTTTCAGCGTTTTCTCTAGGAAATGATACACCTGAAGAACTACGAAAGAAGTTAATACGGAAGATGAAGTTAATTCTGAGCTCAGGTTCCGATGAAGAATGTGCAATTTGCTTGGATTCTTTAACGGTTCCTGTCATAACACATTGTGCACATGTCTTCTGTAAACCCTGTATTTGCCAAGTCATTCAGAATGAGCAGGTTAGTTTTAATGTTCAGTACATATTGAGTGTTTGAAGGAGTGGTGCACCTGTTTTGAGTATAATGAAAACTCAAGTCCAAAAGACTGTAAGAGTTTTGTGCTTGGATTTACTAATGTACCTTTCATTGTTAATTATATCATTCTTTTAATAGGTGATGTATTTCTTATAATTAAGCCCTTTTAACATAAAAATACATTATATTTTTGGTAGCATTTTCACAGTCAGTATTCTAGTTCTAATTGTTTATACCATTGCTGTCCAACAAATAGATCGATAATGTGAGATGCAAAGGTAATTTTAGTATTTTTAGTAGAAATAGATGAAGTTAACTCTTACAATATATTTTTATTTATCCAGTATATCTAAAATATAAAAATTATTAATGATATACTTTCTATGACTTTTTTAACTTAAAATTTAAGTTCAAAATCCATTGGTATTGTATGTCTACAGCACGTTGCCATATTTCAAGGGCTTAATTGCTGCATGTGGCTATTGGCTATGGTATTGATTAATGTAGATCTAGATTCTTACATACAGTAGAATGTTTTGATGTGAAATAATCCTGTAAGCAGGCCTTCAACTGAGGTAGAATTTTTAAAAACATTTTTGATATGTAATATACATATAGAAAAAATGTAGAAGTCATGATTGTACAGCTCTGTGAGTTATGAAGTAAACACACCAAGTAAAGACTACCTAGGTGTCCTTGTGTTCTCCAGTCATTTACCTGCTCCCTCTTCCTTTAAAGGTAACCTCACTGTGCTGACTTCTACATTGTTTTAGTTTCAGAATTTTTTGTATTAATTAGCATGTCTTGGTACAAATCAAATGGATACAACAGATACTGCTTTGAGTGAGCCTGATAGGATCTAACTGATCTTGACTGGCTTTACAAGCCATTAAGAAGGATTTTTTTTTCCTTTAAACGGTTTCAACTAGTGTGCTATATTGTTATAGTTAGGTTCAAGAAACTGTTCATGGTTTCTTTACTTGTCTGCAGATAGTGAAACATTTATTGTTTCAAGTTCTTGGTGCTAGTCAAGATCACATACTTCTGTTCTCTTCTTTACCCATCCCACTTACCACATTAGAACATTTTATCTGCATGGAGTTCAGCATGTACAGATTTGTCTCAAATGGATGAATCTAATAAAAGGTTTTATAGAATTGTAGCTAGTAAATATACAGAATTCACAATGCTTTTTAGAAATTATAGGTTAATTTTTATTTCCATTCCTCTGATAAGTATCACTCATACTTTGTTCTGTCTTATGTAGCCACATGCTAAATGCCCTTTATGCAGAAATGATATACATGGAGACAATTTATTAGAATGTCCTCCAGAAGAATTGGCATGTGACACTGAGAAAAAGTCTAACATGGAATGGACATCTAGTTCAAAGGTAAAATATTAGAGTAATTGTGTTATGTTTATATAAAGAAATACTATGTATAGAAATAATAATTATGCTTTTAATTCTGTCATTTGAATTTTTTTTTGCTGGTTATTGGCTTTGTTATTTCTGATGGTAACTTTCAGAGGAAAGAGAAAGGTTTCTGATTGTGATACTATTTATTCAGTCTTAATTTTAAAAATTGGTGGTGTTTTACTTTTGCATTTTAGGGAAATAACGTGGCAAGACTTTTCTCTTTATAATAAATTTTGGATGTATTTTGCCAGTTCAAAATGGAACCTAATGGGTCTTCTGATTTTTCCAGATCAATGCCCTAATGCATGCATTGATTGACTTAAGAAAGAAGAACCCCAACATAAAAAGTTTAGTTGTTTCTCAGTTTACAACGTTTCTGTCTTTAATAGAAACACCACTCAGGTAAGTTGAACAGTGTTTCTCACTTTCAGTAAATGGATTTTTGTATGTGTTTTGATTTGGATAGCAAAAACTATTTAAGGCTTATCAGTTTTATTTATTTTTGTCTATTTAAAATAATATTCAGAGTCACAATAAAGGATATTTTCTGAGAGCATGGAATTTTAAAGATTAAGTCTGAATTTATTGCAAAAAAGATGACTGCAGAAATTTTAGGTTAATTTATATTTCAATTTTTTTCTAAATTTCTAATTTTCTATATACTTACAATTTATATGAGGTTAAATTTATATTTATATATATAATTTGGAGCCTGACATTGTAGTATATGGCTAGTAAATATTTGTAAAAATAAATGAGTGAAAGAATTGGTTGAATAAAGCCACTGTAGTTACTGTAGTATAGGAAGTGTTATTTGTCTCTTTTGTCCCTTCCATTAGAGCCTCTGGATTTGTGTTTACTCGTTTGGATGGTTCAATGGCCCAAAAGAAAAGAGTTGAATCGATTCAGTGTTTTCAAAACACTGAAGCCGGATCCCCAACTATAATGCTTCTATCCTTAAAAGCAGGTGGAGTTGGTTTGAACCTTTCTGCAGCTTCTCGAGTGTTTTTAATGGACCCAGTAAGTAATTTTGTAGATTTTCTGGTATGTTATCACTTCTAAAAATATAAGGAACAAAAACTATTTGGTAAATGCCTTCATAGTTTTAAGTGCTTTACATATATCAGTCAGATAAAATTCTCACATCCCTATGAGATAGATCTTGTTGTTATCCCTATTTTTCAGGTTAGGAACCTGAAGCATAGAGAAGTAGAATAACTTGCCTAACATCAGACATCTAGTAATATACAAACCAATCAGAGGCCATATCCTTAAGAACTATACATTTCTATTTATCTTCTATATACAGAATAAGTTTCTATTAACTGTAGTATTTTAAGAGTAGTGGTTTCATGCATTTATCCAACATATAATGAGATCCTGCGTTGTGACAGGGACTCTAATAGGCTCTAGGAATCTGGTTATAAACAAGATAAATGAAGTAGCTACCATCATGACACTAATGGTCTTAAGCTTCAATGTGCAAAAGAATTAGGTAAGATGTAATTTCTGATCTCTATCATAAAAGATCCAGGAAGCTATATTTTATACAGACCCCGGGTTGTTCAGGTGCAAGTGGCCCAGCCTCACAATTTAGAAACAATACCATTAATGGAATGTTTTGGGTAAATTTTTTTGTCTAAAAGTGCAATCACTCATGGTTGTGTGATGGAGGCCTAGGGGTAGAGTGGGAGCTAAAATTTACTCTCAACTTTACTCACCAAACTGTGTGACATAAGTTGCATCCATATAGGAGTGCCTTTTTCTAACTGCACAAAGGGGCCGTTTGGGCTGGAGGCACTCTAGACTAACTTGGGTTCATTGCACTGAGTACTGCTTAGGATAAGGCAATTCCACAGTACACATGCTCACTCAGTGGTGTCTGCCACCCCCACTAACTAGTACAGTGAAGTCGTCATTGTTTATGTATGTGCATTCCAGTCCACTCTCCTTGGCTGCAAGGTTACATTGATGTCATGTAAACCATTTTTGTTATAGCAACAGTGGCTTGACTTTTTCTGGACATACTGTGTATTAATTAACACAATGAAAATTCTGGAGGCAGAATATTGGAACTAATTCCCAAAGTATTTTATTCTTTGGTTATAATCTTAGTACTTGATAAGGAAGTAGCTATTAATACCAAATACAGTATTTTAATTAGTATTATAGTTTGTCAGACACTAAACTCTTTAGCAGTTATAGTTTTAAAAAACTTGTAGAATGTTTTAGCAGTTTTACAGTGAGTTGATTGAACATTTCAAGCTTTCAAATGTTTTCTAACTTTAAAACAAAAGTCAGGTCCCCTGCACCAAAATAAGATTCAGTCAGAAGAATTTGCTCATGAAAATCTTTTACCTTGTTGTATAACAGTTAAGGTTTATTGTGATGTTCCATTATGTGCTTTTGATAAAGGTAATCACTTCATTACTCCTGGGACAATGGGAGCTATCAGTTTTACACTATCATGAGGTAAATTGGATTCCTGGTTGTCATACTAGATGTATTATTTCCAGCTTAGGTTTCTAGGCAAAATACAGACAATGGAAAGGAACATTTTACCTGGGCTCTTGGTATAATGGTTTCAAAATGTGTCCATTTATGAAACAGAAAATATGATTATCAGTTTTAGAAAATCATAAGCTGAGTTTTGTCCTTAAATCTAACTTCTACACCAAAAACAAACCAAAACTCAAATTACAGCAAGTTAGTAGTAAAATCTTTTCCCTTGATCTCGAGTGGACTTTAAATAGAAGAAAATAACACAATAAGTATAAATCATACTATAAACTTAACATCTACTTATGGATTAATAATTTGTTTCTATTTTCAGGTGGCACTTTGCTGTATAAATGTTCCTTTTCCCCCAAACATCTCATTTTGTCAAGTGTTACCCCATAATTTAAGTTTGAAATTTAATGATCATTATGCTGACAGTTCATGATCTGTTTCAAAACCACTTGACTCCTATCATTCTAGACTGAAGAACCCTGTATCTTTTTTGCTTATTCTTCCTTTCTGATTGATTCATTGTTTTATTCTTCACTGTAAGACAGTTTCTGTGATAATGCTAATGTTAGTTAATGTTTCTTTTTTAGTTCAGTTTTGAGGTTAAACTGATTTCAAATATAGATACAGGAAATTGTATCAACAAAGTCTTAAATAATTTCTAGGACTTTTGATTACTCCTAAAAAATGTTTATATTTTTACTTAATAAGTATAGGAAAGTTAAAAAAAAAACCAAAACCAAACACCAGCAAAAGGAGAAAAAATTTTTCATAAATGGACCCAATTACATAGTTTTTGATATAAATTAAGTTACTTAAGAGACTATGTAAACTTTTTTTTCCCTGTTAAGCACACATAGATCAACTTGAAAATGGGGAAAAAAGCAGGAAGCTAATTATGTGATTAATCAACAATCATTTATAGTGTGTGTTTTCTATGTATCAGGCCCTGTCTTAGATACAGGAGTAAAATGATGGGGGTGAGTACCTGCCTATCATAGTAGTGATTGGGAGCCTAGGGGGAGTATGGATTTTTTATCCGAGAATGTTTATAATGTCAGTATCTGAATTCAGCCAGAATAATTTCAGTCAATTAAAGGTGTATGAATACTGAAATGAAAGAACTTGTGCAGATCAGCGTGGTAATAAAACAACTCCTGTTCCATTTGCTAGGCCTGGAATCCAGCTGCTGAAGATCAGTGCTTTGACAGGTGCCATAGGCTTGGCCAGAAACAGGAAGTGATCATCACAAAAGTAAGTTTTTAAGTATTTTATTTTATTTTATTTTAATTTATTTTATTTTATTTATTTTATTTTATATTTTTTATGTATTGTATTTATTTTATTTTATTTATTTTCTTATTTTATTTCTTTTTCTTTTTATTTCTTTTTATTTATTTTTTCTTTAGTGTACTGAGTCAATTTTATTGTGGAAACAGCTTTGAAGCTACAAATGTTAACATCTCTAAGATCATTTCAAACATTTTAGCCAAGATACCCTTAATATCAATAATACAGAATGGTAAACATAAGATTACTTATTCCACCTCCTTTACACGTGAGGAAACATCCAGAGAGGTTAAGAGCCCAGGCCAGAGATCTCCAGCTAAATAGGGGCTAAAATAATATTAGAATTAGGTCTTCTGAGTCACTACCCAGGGCTTTTCAGCACCACACTGAAGATTTCCTACAGATTTATGAACATTTAACAAATAGGAAACCAAATTTATTTTATAGGGAAAAATAAGCATATATTATCTCCAACACAAGAAAGACCAGGCAGTGATGTGGCTGGCTAATCTTTTTTTTTTTTTTTTTAATATATTTTACTGATTATGGTATTAGTTTTCCCATTTCCTCCCTTTCATTCCCCTCCGCCCTGCACACCCCCTCCCACCCACATTCCACCCCCTTTAGTTCATGTCCATGGGTCATACCTGTAAGTTCTGTGGCTTCTGTATTTCTTATACTATTCTTAACCTCCCCATGTCTATTTTCTGCCTACCATTTATGCTACTTATTCTCTGCACCTTTTCCCCCTCTCTCCCCCTCCCACTCCCCTGCTGATAACCTTCCATGTGATCTCCATTTCTGTGATTCTATTCCTGTTCTAGTTGTTTGCTTAGCTTTTTTTTTTTTTTAATGTTCGGTTAATAGCTGTGAATTTGTCATCATTTTACTGTTTATAGTTTTTATTTTCTTTTTCTTAGATAAGTCCCTTTAACATTTCTTTTTTAATATATTTTATTGATTATGCTATTATAGTTGTCCCACTACCCCCCTTCATTCCCCTCCACCCTGCACACCCTCTCCCACCCACATTCCCCCTCTTTAGTTCATGTCCATGTGTCATGAATTCTTTAGCTTCTACATTTCACATACTATTCTTACCTTGCTTGCCCCTATTTTCTACTTACCATCTATGCTACTTATTCTCTGTACCTTTCCCCCTCTCTCCTCCTCCCACTCCCCTGTTGCTAACCCTCCATGTGATCTCCATTTCTGTGCTTCTGCTCCTGTTCTGGTTGTTTGCTTAGTTTGCTTTTGGTTTTGCTTTAGGTGTGGTTGTTAATCATTGTGAGTTTGCTGTCATTTTAGTGTACATGTTTTTTATCTTCTTTTTCTTAGATAAGTCCCTTTAACATTTCATAAAATAAGGGCTTGGTGATGATGAACTCCTTTAACTTGACCTTATCTGAGAAGCACTTTATCTGCCCTTCCATTCCAAATGAAAGTTTTGCTGGATAGAGCAACTTTGGATGTAGGTCCTTGCCTTTCATGACTTGGAATACTTCTTTCCAGCCCCTTCTTGCCTGCAAGGTCTCTTTTGAGAAATCAGCTGACAGTCTGATGGGCACTCCTTTGTAGGTAACTGTCCCCTTATCTCTTGCTGCTTCTAAAATTCTCTCCTTATCTTGAATCTTGGCTAATATAATTATGATGTGACTTGGTGTGTTCCTCCTTGGGTCCAATTTCTTTGGGGCTCTCTGAGCTTCCAGGACTTCCTGGAAGTCTATTTCCTTTGCCAGAATGGGGAAGTTCTCCTTTATTATTTGTTCAAATAAGTTTTCCACTTGTTGCTCTTCCTCTTCCCCTCCTGGTACCCCTATAATTTGGATGTTGGAATGTTTAAAGATGTCCTGGAGATTCCCAAGCCTCTCCTCATTTTTTTGAATTCTTGTTTTTTCATTCTTTTCTGGTTGAAGGTTTCTCTCTTCCTTCTGGTCCACTCCATTGATTTGAATCCCAGTTTTCTTCCCATCACTATTGGTTCCGTGTGCATTTTCCTTCATTTCACTTAGCGTAGCCTTCCTTTTTTCCTCTAATTTGCGACCACACTCAACCAATCCTGTGAACATCCTGATTACCAGTGTTTTGAACTGTGCATCTGGTAGGCTGGCTATCTCTTCATTGCTAGGTTGTACTTTTTCTGGAGATCTGATCTGTTCTTTCATTTGGGCCATTTTTTTGTTGTTGGCATGCCTGTTCTGTAGTAAGGGGCAGAGCCTTAGGTGTTCACCAGGGCAGGGGTAGTGTTGTGACACTATGTGGGGCAGGGGTCTGAGAGGGAACAATGGTGCTTGCTCTGCTCTCTGCCAGTTTTCAGTGACTTCCACTGCTACCCACAAGCAAATTGTGCCCTTCTGGTGCTGATTCCTGGGTGGGTGGGTTTGTGTACATTCTAGGACCCTGTGGGTCTCTCTAATGAACTCTCCCATGAGGCTGGGAGTTTCTCCCAATGCTACCTCAACCCCCACAGATGTTTTCAATCAGAGGTTTGAGGCTTTATTTCCCCAGGCTGGAGCCCTGGGTTGTGTGGTCTGTCTCGCCCCCCAGTTGTTCTTCCCGGTTTATCTGCATGCAAATGTGGGACTGCCTGCTCTACCACCCGCTGCCTCACCAAGTCCACCAGCTGCTACCTTGTTACGAGTTCTCTCTGCCCCACTGCCCGTCTTCACCCCCCCACCGGTCTGGATGGATGTTTCTTTAACTCCTTGGTTGTCAGACTTCCATACAGTTCGATTTTCTTGTCAGTCTGGTTGTTTTTTGTTTTTAAATTGTTGTCCTTTTTGTAGTTGTGTGAGGATACACAGTGCATCTACCTATGCCTCCTTTTTGGCTGGGAGTCATTTAAGTCATCTGTTTTAAAGTTAACTTGTTAAGGCTTTTCAAGTTATACAGATAATACATGAATATGTTATTATAAAAGATTGAAATATGAAGATCACCTTTATTCTCTTCAGAGGAAACCACCATCAATAAATCATTTAATATATGCTGTTCAATGTCCCTTTCTCTATGTTTACATACATTCATACTTAATGTGTACCTTTTCTAAAATTTAAGATAAATGGGGTCATATTATTCTGCAACATATTTTCTTCCTACTTAATGGTGTATATTGGACACTACCATATATGAACATTTAGATCTAGCCTATTCTGTTTTTTCTATTGTGTGTTGGTAAGATATAAATAACATAATATTTAAAATATTAAAAAATATTAACTGTGCAGTTCAGTGGTATTAGTGCATTCACATTGTTGTTGCAGTCATGACCACCATCCACGTCCAGAAATTTTTCACCTCACACTGAAACTTTGTACCCATTACCCATAAGTCACTATTCTTTCCTATTTCCCCTGGCAACCACCCTTCTACTTTCTGTCTCTGACTACTCTACATACCCATTCTTGTTAACGCCTGAATTTAGATACATCACACTTTATTTAACCAGCTCAATTTATTTGCTAATAAAAACAATGTCATAATGAGCATTATATCACCTGCATTTTTGTGTATATATTCAAGTATTTCTTCAGGATTGGTTTAGAAATAGAATTCTGGATTTAGAATTTTTTATTAGATAACTTTCAAGTTGTTTTCAAAATAGACTCTAATGTATGAGAATGATATGAATTTATGCTTATGTAATAGTCAAGAAAGTACCTTTCTAATTTTCACTTACCTAAGACCTTGAGCATAACTATTGTCAATATTTTTTTCTGTGAATTGCTTGTTTATATCTTTTACCTAGTTTTCAAAAAGTACAAATACAGTTTTAGAGTATAAAGGGTTCCTTTATACATTCTGATTTTAAATGCTTTAAGTGTATTGGACATGGTTTATTCTAGGCTCTTGCTCATATTTGAACTTTATATGCTTTTTGTCATGAAAGTTTTAAAATTTTTATGATTTAAAATATGTCAGCCTTTTTCTCTGTATATTGTGGGTTTTTTTTTTTTAAGATTTTATTTATTTATTTATTTTTAGAAAGTGAAGGGAGGGAGAAAGAGAGAGAAAGAAACATCAATGTGTGGTTGCTGGGGGCCGTGGCCTGCAACCCAGGCATGTGCCCTGACTGGGAATCGAACCTGTGATGCTTTGCTTCGTAGCCCGCACTTAATCCACTGAGCTACGCCAGCCAGGGCTGTTGTGGGTTTTAAGGTCTGGCTTGGAACAGAAGGCTTTGTCTTCAAATTTTAAAAATGAATCTCATACTTTTGATTCTTTTGAAGTATTTCATTTTTTGTTTATGATTCATGATACTGTTATAATTGTAGTTTTTTTCAAACAAAGAACTATTTGCTTCATTATCAATTGTTTTGAAAAGTCCCTTTTCTCTTTTGATTTGAAATTTCACTTTCATCATAAACTAGTTCATATATATTACATGGGTCTCTTATGGACTCTGTTCTGTTCCATTGATCTCTTTTTTTCCTATTTCCAGGAAAATATTGTTATAATTACTATGGTTTTATAAAGTATGCTTTGATATATACTAGGGTAAAGTGCTCTCATTACCCTTTTTTAAATTATATTGGTTATTACTATTATTTACTCTTGAATTGAACTTGGGATTTCGGTTAGCAAATCTCATTTAAGAAATCTAGTTTGGGATTTATTGAATTTATGATTATTTGAGAACTATCTTTTTTGTTAATGTTTTCCTATACAGGAACTTACGTCACATCTCCATTTATGTTTTTTAATGTCCTCACCTGAGGACATGGTTATTGATTTTAGAGAGAGGGGGAGCGAAGAAGAAAGGGGGAGAGAAACATTGACATGAGAAACATCAATCAAGTTGCTTCTCCTATGTCACCTGACTGGGGACTGAACCTGCAACCTAGGCAGTGTGCCCTGTCCAGGAATCAAACCTGTGACCTTTCAGTTTACAGGACGATGCTCCAACCAACTGAGCCACACTGGCCAGGGCTTTTTGGGTTTTTTAAGTATTTCAATAACATTTTGTAACACACCCTTAGTTACCACAGTAACCAGTACTCTTACACAGTGTTGACTAGCAGTAGTGATAGTAACCATTTTGACTTGTGACTGTTTTTGTTGGGAATGCTTTTATTGTTTTATATTAAATATGTTGTTTTTGTTAAGTTTCTAGTAAATGCCCTTAATAAGGTTGAGGACGTTTATTTCTAAGTTAATGAAGATAATATTTTCTCAGGAATAAATAAATGTTTAATTTTATCAAATGCCTAAGCATCTGTGGAGATGATCATTTTTTAAAAAAATTTTTACATTATGAATTTTATGAGATAAAAGCTCATTCTTGCAATTCTGGGAAAATCTCATTCTCCTTTTTAAATACAATAAGTGTATTTTGATCATATTCCAGTTAACAGAGCTGCCTATAAAGTTGGCTTTTTTGTATGCTGTTCTTCTCTGATGAGGGAGTTTTAAGATATAACTTATGTCTTTAGCAGAAAACCATATTGAATGATAAAGGAAAGCAATGCTTATCTCTAGTTATTATGTTCTAAATATTCTCCCTGTATATTCAGGAAAAGGAGCTAAACAGTTTCTAATAGATTATTATTGACCATTTTTGCAAGCTGCATAATACTAGAAAATGTAGACCCACATTTCCATCTTAGCAAGTTTTTATTTTTAAAGATTTTAAATATTGTGACCCTAAAAAGTACTTAACTAATTTAACTTTTTTTTTCTTTTAAAGTTTATTGTTAAGGACTCTGTTGAAGAAAATATGCTGAAAATACAAAACACAAAGAGAGAGCTTGCAGCTGGAGCCTTTGGAACTAAAAAAACAAATGCTGATGAAATGAAACAAGCTAAAATTAATGAAATCAGAACTTTAATTGATTTATAATTTGTGTGATTTTGGTAAGATCTGTTTGATCATATTAGATACAGAAGTTTTTGAAATGATAAAAATAGAGTTTTAGAAAGGAGATTTAGTGAGTATGTCTTCTAGAAGGGGCGTATGTTTCATATCAGTGAAGAGGTATTACTGATACATAAGCACTTCTATATATGAACCTATTTTTAATGATATCTCAAATAGCAATAAGTTCTGTTATATACTGTGGCCTAAAATAATTTTTTTGAGAAAGAAGTTACTTTGTTATTCAACTTTTCATAGTATCTTTGCTGAGTATTTTCACATATCTTGCAAATACTCAGCTTTTTCATATTTCAAATAGGTCAAACCTTTTATACTTTTGACCAAATAAAGAGTTATTTTCTATGTTGGACACATTTGCTTTTTCACCAAAACCTCCCATTGATGATGCAGTGGATTCATCGGTCCTTGTAAATGATTCATATATACACAAACTATATATGAGATTGATTTTATTGGGCTTTCAAACACAATATTTGCATTCCAGAACCAAACCTTAAAATGAGAGACCAAAGTCCAGGTTAGTAAGTTACTTGTAATTTTTTTAACAGTACATTGAGATATAATTCATATATGTGATTTGCAGTTTTATGTTCATGGAAAAAATAGGGACTGTGTTAGAACACTGTGTTCTCCATTTAAACCAGGTGGTCTGTTCATCATTGTTTTAGTGTTACTTGATGTGTTAGTGTGTAAATACAGTCTGGGAGTGAAAGGGAACCAGTTCTATCCAATTTGATTTGAATATTTAAATTATGGAATTGCTGAATAGATATTTCTATATATAGATAATTTTTATTTATGTAGGTTTTTTGAAATAACTTTATACATTTTTATAATTCAGAAGACTACTATATGTGAGAGGTGTAATATCTGGATGGAAGCTGGGTTGGATGACCTCCAAATCATTTTGACTCTTAAAGACAGCTTAATCCTGAATAGAAAAATTTGTTATTGTGTTTAGAATCAGAATTTGATTTTGGACCTTCAGTAATTCATCCTTCCATCTATCTTTTTGTTACTTTTTTGATAATCAAACTCACAGTAGTTGCCACAAAATTCTAGATAATTCTTTGAATCACATTCAAACAAATGAGCTATAATTTAGCAATCAGGTTAGGTAACCAATGGTATTTTTTCCTTAAGGGAAGTTTTTTCTTTTTTTTTAAATCCAAAGAAAGATTAGTTACTGTAACAGAAGAGGCTTTATGTTTGATGATACAGACTTGAGACCATCTTATATTTTACTTATAGTGTTAGAAGTGACTTGACTGAAAAATAGGAGATTGGAGGCAACACCGTGTTCTAGAGTACACATATAAAGTATGTGCTAAATCTGTTAACAGCTAAGTCCTCCCCTTCCTGTGCCCTGTCTCTTGCTCCAAGGAAACAGTGGGTTAGATAACGAGAATTTTCCCAGTCCATTTTCTCATTGGCAGCAGGTGAAGCAGGGCTGATGAAAAGGACCAGCAGACCTTTCTGCAGGGATGAAAGTGGATCACAACTTAGGGTTGGTCCACTAGCATTAGGGAGCAATAGGGAAGTTCCTTACCTTGTGGGACTAGCATTACACAGAAAATCAGGTAGATCAGAATCTTATGAAATGCAGTGTGTGGGTTCTCTATATACCTGTAATACAGAGAGAGTAAGTATAAAAGAAGTGTTTTCAGCAAAAACAACACAATCTACTCTTCTTGCTTACAAAAGTAAAGCCTTGTAAACTCACTATTAAGGTAAAAACTTTATTGACTTGTTTACCCAGGCATTTACAGGTTTGTGTTCTTAAGCACATTCATAATAATTTTGGCAAGTCATTTAAAAATATCTCTTTTTGTATAGTTCTATTAACTTGTGTTAAGTAAAAAACAAGTTTAAGTTATACCAAGAAAAAATATAAATCACTGGAATGACAAGTTCACATTATGCTATGCTGTTAATTCTGTTTCATTATGTAGAATAATAGCTTTAGAAATATCTTGAAGGCATTGTATTCCCACTTGTGATTCAAACTGAATTTTGTTTTAAATTTAAAACAATAAAAGTTTCAAAAATCTATTAGCTTCTTCAGTGCCATAATTTTTAAAATGTATTGATTATGCTATTACAGTTGTCCCATTCCCCCTTCATTCCCCTCTACCCTGCACACCCTCTCCCACCCATATTCCCCCCCTTTAGTTCATGTCCATGTGTCGTAAGTTCTTTAGCTTCTACATTTCCCATACTATTCTTGCTTTCCCCCTATTTTCTGCCTACCATCTATGCTACTTATTCCCCATACCTCCCCCTCCCACCTCCCATTCCCCTGTTGATAATCCTCCATGTGATCTCCATTTCTTTGGTTCTGTTTCTGTTCTAGTTGTTTGCTTAGTTTCTTTTTGTTTTAGGTGTGGTTGTTAATAATTGTCAGTTTGCTGTCATTTTACTATACATGTTTTTTATCTTTTTTTCTTTGACAAGTCCCTTTAACATTTCATAAAATAAGGGCTTGGTGATGATGAACTCCTTTAACTTGACCTTATCTGAGAAGCACTTTATCTGCCCTTTCATTCTAAATGAAAGCTTTGCTGGATAGAGCAATCTTGGATGTAGGTCCTTGTCTTTCATGACTTGGAATACTTCTTTCCAGCCCCTTCTTGCCTATAAGGTCCCTTTTGAGAAATCAGCTGATAGTCTTATGGCAACTCCTTTGTAGGTGACTGTCCCCTTATCTCTTGCTGCTTTTAGAATTCTCTCCTTCATTTTTACCTTGGCTAATGTAATTATGATGTGCCTTGGTGTGTTCCTTCTTGGGTCCAACTTCTTTGGGACTCTCTGAGCTTCCTGGACTTCCTGGAAGTCTATTTTTTTTGCCAGAATGGGGAAGTTCTCCTTCATTATTTGTTCAAATAAGTTTTTAGTTTGTTGCTCTTCCTTTTGGTACCCCTATAATTCATATGTTGGAACGTTTAAAGGTGTTCTGGAGGTTCCTAAGCCTCTTTCCATTTTTTTGAATTCTTGTTTTTTCATTCTTTTCTGTTTGGTTGTTTCTTCCTTCTGGTCCACTCCATTGATTTGAGTGCCAATTTTCTTCTGATCACTATTGGTTCCCTGTGCATTTTCCTTCATTTCACTTAGCGTAGCCTTCATTTTTTCATCTAATTTGTGACCAAATTCAACCAGTTCTGTGAGCATCCTGATCACCAGTGCTTTGAACTGTGCATCTAATAGGTTGGTTTATCTCTTCATCATTTAGTTGTATTTTTTTCTGGAGTTTTGATCTGTTCTTCTGTTTGGGCCTTTTTTTTTTTGGTCTTGACTCACCTGTTACTAGTGAGGGGCGGAGCCTTAGGTGTTTGCCCTGGGCAGGGCAACCCAGTCTTGGGTTGTGACACAGTATGTTGGGGAGGGGTCCGAGAGGGAACAATGGTGCTCAATCCTCTCTCTCTCGGATTTCAGTCCCTCCCACTGCTTCCCCCAAGCAAACGGAGCTCTTCTGGTGCTGATTCCCATGTGGGTGGGCTTATGTACATTCTAGGACCCTGTGGGTCTGTCCAATGAACTCTCCTGGGAGACTGGGAGTCTCTCCCTGCATGTCAACCCCCACAGGTGTTTTCAATTGATGTTTTGAGACCTTATTTCCCTGCGCTGGGACCCTGGGTTGTGCAGTCTACCTTGCTCCCCAGTTTCGCTGGTTTACCTGCACCTGAATATGGGATTGCCAGGTCAGTCGCCTTGCGCCCTGCATCCCACTCCACAATCGCCATCTCGCTGGGTCTGCTTGCTGCCACCTGGCACCAGGGTCTGCCAGCCACTGCCTGCGTACCCAGGGTCCGCCTGATACCATTTTTGCACCCCCAGGATCTGTCAGCTGCTGCCTTGCATGTCTCGGGTCCACAAGCCACTGCTTTTTTTGCCTTGACCCCTCTCCGCCCGGCCGCCAGCTCTGCCCCTCCTACTAGTCTGGATGAATGTTTCTATTTTAACTCCTTGGTTGTCAGACTTCCATACAGTTCAGTTTTTTGTCAGTTCTGGTTATTATTTTGTTTCTAAATTGTTGTCCTTATTTTGGTTTTTCCAGGAGGCACAGTGTGTCTACCTATGCCTCTGTCATGGCCGGAAGTAGCCCAGTGCCATAACTTTAATGACTACATTTTCTTTAAAGAAAATCTTTCATAAATATCACACTTCTGTGAAGATGTCTATATTATATAATTACATGGTTTTTAATAATAGTACATTAAAAAGTACTATTAGTAACAATTTTCTCATATTCCTACTACCTTTTTTATTGTGCTCAATTTTAGTGGTTGAAGTTCTTGTTTAGAAATAGTGTATATAATTTTTAAGTTTATGCTAATATCTTGATTTTCCCAAATACAAGTTCTAATTATTTTTACACTTGTGATAATACTTATGTATAGTGGTATCACTAGGTAACATACTCTGCATTATAGATTTTGCCCTAATTACAGCTCTAGGATTGGACATAGTTAATAAGGAAAATAATTCTTAGTTTATTATCAGTGAGTAACAGTGAAATTACCCTCCAACAATATTTGTTTCTTGTTAGGGGATGTCAAAGGCATTGATGTATTATTTTCTTTCTTTTTTTTTATAAAGATTTTTATTTATTTATTTTTAGTGAGGAGCGGGGGAAGAGAGAGAGAGAGGGAGAGAGAGAGAGAAACATCAATGTGCGGTTGCTAGGGGTCATGGCCTGCAACCCAGGTATGTACCTTGACTGGGAATTGAACCTGCGACATTTTGGTTTGCAGCCTGCGCTCAATCCACTGAGCTACGCCAGCCAGGGGTATTATTTTCTTTATTTTATTTATCATACTTGCCAAAGTTTTATTCATTGGGATTTGGAAGATTCATTAAAAATATGAGGACAGAGATCTAAGATTCTGGAGGAGGAAGTGGAAGCTGCTCAAACATCCTCCCAAGACCACTGGAATTACAACTAAATTGTAGAGAAATCATTTAGAATAATCAACTAAACACTAGCTGGAAAGAAGCCTTATAACCAAAGACAGATGGAAGTAAGCACCATGACGTGACTGGTAGTTAGTGCGAAGGAGGCCTGAACGGGCTGGCTAGGCTCCCATGGGCAACGGCTGAAATTCCAGAGGGATATTTCAGTGGCTGGGGGTTTCTGCTTGAGAAGTGTGCAGTCAACCCCAAGCTGGACTCCCCAGCCTGCAAGAGCCAGGAAAGGAACTCAGATAACATCCAGCTGTGAAAAGCAGAGGGGTTTCTGTCCACCTAGGAGAAACAACTGGGGATGCAGAGAGCCTCTTAAGGGGCCTAAGCACAAAATTCCATTTGCAGACTCTTAACCTGGGCTCCAGCAGAGGGAGGGCAAAGTGGACTATTGGTGCATGAGGAGAGTCTAGGGCTGGTGGCTCTGGGGAAAAAACCAAAAGAACAGCTAGCAGTATCTCTGTGCTGAGTCATTTCCCATACTGCAGAGGCCATCTTTCTCAAGCAGAGCACTCCCCTCCAAGTGGCATCAGCCTCAGGGGAAGCAATAGACCTGTTCACAGGTATTACTCTGCCCCATCCCATACACTTAATCTGGGCTGCTGAGGAATAGAGCTGGAGGCTATCTCAGTGATTAAGTTTAACAACTAAGGTGATCTCTGGGAGCTCTGAGATTTTAGACGAACCTCCCCTGGGCCTGGTGCTGGTAAAAGCTGGCCTTGGTGCACAGCCTGGTTCTTTCTGCACACAAACAGTTCCAGCAGAGGGAGCCACAAGCTCTGGGTCATTGATAATTAGGAACAGGTTGCTCAGGGTCAGTCACAGGCAGCGTCCGACATAGGTCTGCACCTATTAACGTAGGTCTACATAAGGATAAAGGGAACAATCCAACAAGAGAATAAAACCTTAGGTACAACATTAGAGGTACCTAAATATGGAAAGCAAATCTTCATGGACATAAAGGGAGAGATTGACAGAAACACAGTCATAGTAAGGGATTTTAACACCCCTTTGACTTCAATGCATATATCTTCTAGACAGAAAATCAATGAAGAGACAGCAGCCTTCAACAACATACTATATAAAATGGTTTTAATATCTTCAGAGCATTTCATCCCAAAGCAGCAGATTATGCATACTTTTCAAGTGTACATGAACTTTTTCTAGGATAGGCCACATGTTAGGACACAAAACAAATCTCAATAAATTTAAAAAGATTGAAATTATATCAAGCATCTTCTATGACCACAGTGCTATGAAAATAGAAAAACACACAAAGATATGGAAATTAAATAACTTGTTATTAAACAATGAATGGGTCAACATGAGATCAAGGAAGAAAATGAAAGATACCTGGAGACAAATGAAAACCAAACAGTCCAAAATCTATGGGGAGGCTTCTGGTAAAGATGGCAGCATAGGCAGACATGGCTCACCTCTTCACACAACAACATCAAAATTACAACTAAAATACAGAACAACCATCATTCAGAAATATCACAAATCAGCTTGAGTGGAAGTCTGACAACTACAGAATTAAAGAAACCACATCCATTCCGACTGGTAGGAGGAGCACACATGCAGACAGGTTGGTCTCTTGCACACGTGTGCTGCATAAAAGTTCAGGAAGGGATATCTCAGGAGTGAGGAGTCCCAGCCCAGGGTTCCAGTGCCAGGAACATAAGTCCCAAAACACTGGTTGCAAAAACCAGTGGGGATTGAGTCAGTGGGAGAAACATCTGGAGCCCCAAGAAGTTCCTCTTAAAAAGCACACTTGGGCTCACCTACTCAGACTCACTACCTCTGAGATACAGTGCCAGAGTGGCAGTTTGAAGGGCACCAGTGGCATATTGGGAGAGGCAGGTGTGTCTGGTGTCAAGGTGAGCAGAAGCCATTGTCCCTTTTTTGAGCCCTCCTCCTGCAGAGCCATGGAGCCAGCAGGCTGGACCATATTTGAGACTGCATCAACCTGGCTAACACTGTTTGATCCTCAGAAACACTGCCCCACCCAATTTATGGTCCACCCAAGCTGCTTTTCCATATGAATAACTGGCCTTGCCTCATGCTTCATAGCTTCTTAAGTCCTATCAAAC